CTGGATTTGATCACTCTGACCACATTCAGATCACGAGTTTCGTGTGGCCTCCATTTTGTTCATATATGATAAGATGGTAGCCATGCAACCCGGCTTGGTGAAGCTTTGCTTATGCCTTCGACTAAGAGGCACGGATCCAGATCTTTACAGAATTAAAATGCGTCCTGGGCCACATGTGAAGGACCCGCTACAGTTTAACAATCAATCGAAAGTATTATCACAATATCAACACTGATCGACACCTGATTTCTTTTTTCTCAATTGAGTGAAATCTTATTCTACAGTTGATCTGCATGCAGCCCCTCCTGTCTGCGCTCTCTCTCCATCTCTCTCTGTCTATCTATTACTCACACCAACACACACACAAACATCAATAAACTCAGACTGGGTAAAAACAACATGGTTTGGTCTTTGTAAACACAAAGATATGTACGCATTTATTTGTTCTCTTCACCCAAAGACTGGGGCAATTAATATTTGCAGTATCACAATTGGTCACAAGACCATTCAGGATGTATTTTAATACCAGGTGTAAACAGTTTAACTTCACTCTGTCCTCTTGTAATCAGATCTCGCAGGATGGATGTTAATGCAGGGCCATAAACTGCATTCGTTTTTTTTTTATGTGTGCCTTTTTGTACAGCTCCCCTCTTATTCTTCTTGCATCACTTTTCCGTATAAGCCTATATTTCCTCTCTGGAGTTTGTGGTTGCACTCTCTCCTCACCCACCACTCATCTCAGTTTGAGTTTTCTTATTATTATGAATATCCTTAATAAGTGTCCATTAAAAGCTGTGGTAACAGTTTGACACAGAGGCTCAGCGTGAAACTTCCTCTGCCTGTGTGGTTTTTTCGGTGATTGCTCATCCGAGTGTGTTTGTGTGTCCCCGCAGTATCTTCAGGATGTTCTCAGCAGACAGGAAGCGAGTGGAGACAGCCCTGGAAAACTGCAACCTCCCTTCTGGCAGAGTGAGTAACCAAAAAAACTGAATGTCATTTTCCAGTGTTGCTGTCTCCTTGAGTTTCCGCTTGTCTCTGAACACACTCCCATTCGTGTACCTCCTCCTTTCTCTTATCTCCCAGATCTTTCATCTTCTCCATCCATCCATCAGTATGTCACCTCCTTGTTCTCCTCCCTCTCTAGTCTCCTGAAACAGCAGATGATTGCTGCTTTTGCTCATTTGTTTGGAGTCTTATTTTCTGGATGCCTGCATGACTTCCCACTCAGAACTGATTTAGCTTTGGTTGTAATGAAACAAATAGACCCAGAGGGAGCAATAGAGATGACAAAAGCAGTTTTATCTTTAACTCTCTCAGCTATCACCAGAGAGAAGCTGCCCCCTCATGCATAGAGGTGTAAACAGTCCCCCCCACACAGCAGAAAGTCTCTGTACTCCAGCAGTAGAAAGCAATTTACATCTTGGGAAGTGGGAATTGCCTTTTAATGCAGTTCTGAGTGTATAGTGAAACATCTGCACATACAGTCAGACACACACCGTAGCTGTAATAAATGGCCTCCTAACACAAACAGAATGAATACATACTTTAATGCAAACACACAGATGCTCACACTTACTCTACAAAACATCAGACTAATTAGCACAGGAGCAGGACTTAAAAACATGTCTCTGTATGAAGGCCTGCTGGGATTTGCTGTTGTACTGATGTGCAAGTGATTACAGCTAAATGGCGCCGCTGTTAATCCCTCAAACTCACGGGGAACAGTGCATACACGTGCTTGCATCAAGGTTCTTCAGAATGAGTCCTCGAGTCTCTGCGGGGCTTGACCTCCATGCTCCCTAAGGCATCCTTCTTGATCTCCATCCCTCCCGTCTCCTTCTTAGAACGCTTGGTTCTGCTTTTGTTCCTTGCTGGTACAAAGCTATCGCCTGCTGCTGTGCTGCACACTCACTGTGTTCTTATCAGAGCTGTTTGGCTCTGATAGCTCCATAAGAGGCCCACGTGGCCTAAGCTTTTTTTATGCAAGTCCAAGTGCAAATTGCAGGAAGTCGTCTCCTGTTAATTACTTGTATTTGAACTGAATGTCTGTATAATAGCCTCCATAAGGAGACTAGAGGTCGGGTCAGCTGTAAAACATACCGCAGCATAAGAGATGTATCTTTGCTACAGAAATGCAAGTAGGGTAGACATAAGTTGGTTGAACAGAAGGAAACTTTCCTCAGGACTTGATGTGCAGGGGTGAATTGTGGAGTGAATGTCCCAGTAAACATACTGAAGAAGGGCTCAACCTTAAATATAGTTTTCTATACAAGAAGCCAACTGACACAAGAACTAGGCGCCCAAAGTTTTGAAAGTTGTTTTTATTGTTGTTAGCTGATGTGTTCAAACAAACTATTATCCCTTTAAGACAAATTTGTGATTTCTTTTGGTGTATAAATACAATTTACTTGACTTTCTTGAGTTTTCAGATCTGTCTTGAATGATACTGTAAGAAAAAGATTTTATTTCCACATGAGACCCAATTATTTTTGAAAACTTTTCATTTTCAACAACAGTTGCAACAGTTTTAAAGGTTCAGCACTCATAAAAACAGAAGTGAATATTTAATTTGCAATTAAATTACAAACAGTGAAGATGCAACATTGCCATAGAGAACTAGTGATGGTATTCAATAGCACAGCATTGCAGATACTTTATATTTGTAATTCATCCATAGTGTCTCTATCCATTACTATGCATTGCAGTTGTTCTCATCATGTTGTTGTTTTCTCCTGCAGAATGACTCCGTCCCCCAGGAAGACTTCACTCCAGAGGTGTACAACATGTTTCTGAGCAACATCTGCTCCCGATCTGAGCTGGACCACATCTTCTCTGATGTGTAAGAACCGAGTTTCTCTTAAGCCTAGTTCACACCAAACGACGTTCAGCCCAATTCGCGGCAACAAGTTTTGCAAGTTGCAGACAAAAGCCACCGATCGTTGCTCGATTGGCAGTCACCAATCGCTTTGTTATGTATGCAATTAGAGAGTGTCACCAACGGCTCCCAGACTAGTGGCAGACTCAATCAGATTTCCAACTTGCTGAAAATCTAGTCAGAGTTGGTAACAACTCCAGCCAATCAGAGCACAGGAGAGGGTGAAGCCAGGTGGTGAACGTGTAGTGGTGAGGTACCATGATTTGTTTTTCTTTACACAAGGCTGTAGTTGGCGTAACCATGAACAGAGTAAAAGAAACTCAGTGCATCTTCTATTAACCACATCGGAAGCTAGTTGGGAACCCATAGCTCATACCAGCTCTCACTAAACATAACAATTCTTTACAACTCAGACTGCAATACTCATCAGGAAGTGTAGTTCTAGTGTGAACTACACAACTTTGAAAGTTGAGTTGTGTGAACCTGGAAATAATAAGTTTTACAATTTCCAAAGAATATGTAAATTCCAACTTCAGAGTTTTAGAAATTGTGTGAAAAACTTGAATCCACATGAGAGTGATTAATTTGATTTCATTTTTCCAACCATCTGTTGCTCTTTTCAGACCAGCAGCTATATAATGGCTGCCAGCCTTGATGGAGCAATATGGCTTTGCAGGTTTAAGACACCCACTTTTGCCCATTAGAGTAATTAATACGTAGTTGATTAGAGCAAGAAAGTGTGTTGTATTGGGCCTCAGTGTGACTCCTCAAGTCTGAGTGTTGGCCCCATGTTCTGCAGAAGCAGAGCTGCCCCTTGGCCCAGAGGAACTCACACCATCAGCCCAGCCTGCGTGGCAGCACGACTCTGACCACTCCGAGTCATTAATCTAGATTTTAATCACAGTTAAGTGAGAAGGCACGAAAGCCAGGAGGATATGGAGATGATCATTTAGTGGAATGGGCAGAGATATGAAAGGCTTTTAAATCAAATCGTATAATTCACTCAACGCAACATTTTATCCTCTGCTCCTTTGCGTGTCTGTCGCTCTTCCTCTCTACATCTCTTTTCCATTTTAATTACCACCTCATCCTTTTCTCTTCGTTTCATTTATTCAGCTCACTTTTTGAATTCTGTTCTGGCTCCCACATCTCACTAAGTAACCCCTCCCATGTTTTCTCCAGTTCCCTTTTTGTATTCCCACCAGTCATGCTACTCTCTCTCATCTTTACTCTTCTCCTCAGGGGGGCTAAGAGCCGTCCATACCTGTCGGTGGAGCAAATGACAGAGTTCATCAACAGTAAACAACGAGACCCTCGTCTGAATGAGATTCTCTACCCTCCTCTTAAACCAGAACAGGTCCAGCAGCTGGTGGAGAAATATGAACCTAATGCTTCGCTGGTTCAGAAAGGTCAGTGTCTGTCAACACAAACATTGAGACATTAACATGTGTAATTGTATGGGTAAATGCACACAATGCCCCTTTAAGTGTGCAGAACTTTATGTAAATATAACAAAAACCTAATGTGAACTTATCTGCACACAATTCTACATTCAGATACACACACACACGCACACACACACACACACACATACACATATTTATATATCTCACTCTCATTTCTGTTTATCTCATGTAAAGCTACAGCAGCGGGAGCAGTTGCCAGGCAACTAGTAGAAGTTGGGCAACTTGTAGTGTTTCTGTATTTGTCATCATTGAGTTATGGCTCCTCTCTGTATCTTGTATATGTGACATGTTTTTTTTAATTTGCTAGTGTTTTGTTCTGTAATGGTGACTGTGCTACATTCAGAGACTGTTTATGAAAATGGACGTCGACTTCGGGTCTTTAAAGTGAATCCAATAAGAAAGTGCTAAAATCACGCAGTATCTCAAATGAAAAATAAATCAGTTTCAATAGAATTATTTGAGAAAATGACTCAACTTCTCACTTGATTTATAACGTCAGTAAACATTTTCCCAGGGCTCTCAATCGATAGTTTCAAGTTTTATTCAATACAGCATGATGTTCATTTTTGGTAAATTGTGGTCTCTTTTAGAGTAAAATAGTCAACAAAGCTTGGTATGCATTGGGGCATGGCTAATGTGTGATTGAAAGCTGGTACTGTCTAATGGGTGCAGGTCACAAGTGTAGGTGTTTGAGCATTATCCAGTACAGTAGGATTACTTCTGGTTTAAAAAAAACAAGATGGCGCTGGCCAAAATGCCAAAGTCGACACACAAACCAATAAGTGATGTCACGATACGTTGCCACTTGGTTACACTGTAGGTAGCTGTCATCAGTGGTTGCTGATGACAGCTACCTACAGTATCGATCTATTAAGACTTCAAGCGAACAACATGAATCAAAATCGACTTCACGTAAACTGCACTTGTGTAAAAGTAAATAAAGAGAGAGTTTTAGGTGCAGTGTTAGAGACTCAGGAGTGGCACAGACAAATTAATGAACCACCTGCATGGAGGAGCAAAGGGAATCCAACACTGCAGGACATCTTGTGTTTTCATGTTGTCTGAGCTATCAGAAGACAGGAAGCTGCCAAAACTGGAGAACATTACTCTGCACATATCAGGCATCAGGGTGAGGTATGTGCCAATTCGAATTTAATCTCTGCTGGAAAGTGTGCTACACACGTTTGCCAAAATGGGTGACTTACTTTACACCATATTCTGTTTATTACCTCACAAATGGCCAGGTTGACATTTTGCCATTGTATTGCACCAAACCATTTTGAAAGTATAGTAATAATTTTGACAATACTACTACTATCTATATAATTTACAGTTGGTTACACTGTGTCAGTTCATTGCCTTCATCATGGACTAGAAAGCACCAACAAAATGTTATGTAATGTAAATTCAACAGATCTGTGCTTTATTGATAACATGGCAAACTGTATATCTTCAGCTTCCCGATCAATAATACACCTGTGTTCTACAATATATGATTTGTAAAATATTAGTACTTTGAGTCTGTTTCAAAAGCAGCAACCTGACCTGCATTGAGCTGTTCATCAAAACCCTTCAAAACTGTGCTGTAGATCTGACATGCATTACTTTACATGTGCATTACTACATCCATCCATCCATTATCTACACCGCTTACCCTTTGAGGTCCGCAGGGGGAGCTTGAGCCAATCCTAGTTTACAATCAGCGAGTTGCAGGGTACACCTTGGATAGTGTATCAGAAACAAATATTCACAGTCACACCTAAATTCTATTTAAAATTTCTGATGAACCTAACCCCAATTTGCATGTCTTTGGACTGTGGGAGGAAGCTGGCGTACTTGAAGAAAAACCACACAGAAACAAACTAAACATAGGAAGACCTGTATCTTCATCAATGTATGGAGAAGTAGCTATTTCTATGGTTTCGCAAGTGACAGTTTCTGTAAAAACCTGCTCAGAGCATCATCAATATGCAGATCACATTTGCACATTTTATTACTGGCTACACTAAAACTAAATTGACCCTAACTTACTGAAGCAGATCTTGAGTGCTGCTCCTCTGAATAAAGTACCTACTTCTTTGCAAATGTATGACAGAATGAGTAACAGGTTCCTAAAGTAGTTTAAATCTTTTTTATTATGAAACCACATTCAAATGTCCCATTTGACCGCCCTGTGTTTTGACTCTGATCTCAGCGATGTGTTCGTCCTGTCCCAGGCTTTCTGCAAGCATGCCCTTCTCTGTCCCAGTGACAGATTCCCCCATGTGAAGTATTTATCTAGCCGGAGGAAGTGCTGCCATCTGCTCGGCTGAGTGGTCCAGAGCTCCACATGCTACCTACACACACACATGCATTCACAATCACATTCACACAAGTTTTCCTCTCCCAAGGACGCTATTATTGTATAAGCAGAAATGTATGATAGCTATGTGCATACTAAACATGTGCTTTTATATTTTACTGAAGAAGCATTACATGGAATACAGGCACAAAGGTCTAACCAGCATCCTGACAATCTTTCTTCTTTTCTCTGTTTTCCATCATTGAGTATTACACTTGTCATTAATCTCTCCAGTGCTCCGTCATGGTCTTTGACGCCTTTATTCTATGCTCACTCAAGCATTCTGACATTGTTTGAAGGCAAATGAATAAAATGCAAAATGAAACAAGACACATTCATCCAGAGAATATGACGGCACATCATTGCTTTTTCATCTTAAGTGACTTTTTATAGGAAGCTCTGCATTTGCAGTTTCCTTCCTGTCACCAAAACCCAATTTTTTATTTGACTTGAATGTGTCATATACATATATTCCCTTCCTGTCAGATCTAAATTCACCTTTCAAATGTCACCTTTAGAATAACACCTGTACCTCGCTCCAAATCCTCGGCATGTTAGCACCTCTGTTTGACCTACAAACATCTGGGGAAACGCTGCGTCTATGTCTTTATGAGTGTGTGCGATGCAGAGGTTAGGACTCCGGCTGGTAAAGGGAGGTCATAGGAAGTCACCAGGGAGTAAGACGCTGAGTGCGACTGAGCTCAGATGTCAGACAGCAGCCAGCGTTAATTAGTCCGACTACTCTGCAGAGGGCGGCGCCGCATGAATTAGCATAACGTGGCCAGAGGGACCTGCTGCACCCGTCGAGCTTGCATCACTTCGCATATTTAGCACAACGTCAAGTAAGTGTGTGCGTGCATGTGAGCGGAGGAGGTTGTGTGAGGGGGTGTTTTGGTTCAACATGGAGCACTTGCTAGATGATGTGCACTCAGGTGAATTGGGTGATATCTACGCATATGGGCAGTTTTATTTTGTGTCTGATTGGTTGGAAATTTTAGATTTACTCATTTAGTCTGTGAATTACCATTTCTCCAGCACTTTCAGGGAGGACATGAGCTCATTGATGACGCTTAACACGAGTGACCTTGACGTAGAATCAAAACAAGGAAAGAACAACTTTCAGCAAATGGTGATTAAGGCTCTAAATTAAACTACTAATGTAATCCCAGTGTGGCTTTAATTAGAGATTATGAACATTTTTAGTAATGTAACCTTTGAAAGCGAATGAACACAGTCTTCCATCTGCTTATCTGAGAGCACATGCAGTACATTTACACAGAACAGTGCACACACTTATGCACTTACTCATGGATTCTCTTGTTATATATTAAATATAAAGTATTAAAGAGGGAAAATGTTTCAAAGAATATTCAGGATCTTATTTCTGAAAGATGCACACATAGTCAGGTACCATATACCATGCACCATATGTTTCATTCAGTTGTAGGATAAGGCGGGCAATATTTGTTATGTTTGTTACTGTCAGCAAATCCTATTTGAAGCCAAAAGTCTCTTTCTGCAACTGGCAAGTTCTTGACTCTGCCCATGCACTCAGCCCCAGGCCCATTTATATATGTGCTGCAGATGTTAGTCCTGCAAAAAAAGGTGCTTGGCACTGCGTTTCTCACAACCCAAACAAGAGGAACTGGTGCAGGAGCAGGATTTATGTGGGTTTAACTTAAAATAAAGACAAAAAACTAAGACACTTGTTTGTCAGATCCTCTATTATTTTTCTTCATTATTTCTAATATAAGGGCGTTTTCACACCTGCAAGCCTGGACCAAGGTCAGACCCAAAGTTCATGTCTTTGTTACGTTGTTTACATTTGATGTGGTTAGTTCTGGTTTCACATTTCAATATAGGGAGCGCACTAAAGACTTTTTGTATGACATACGCTGGTGGTTTAGTTTGATCTGGTACAAGATCTCATCTTCTGGTTGGTCCAGACCGTGGTCACTGGCACATTTCACACCTGTTATTTCGGTTCAGACTAAACTGAAAAAGTCAGAAGGTCCATACCAAGCAACGTAAGTGTAAAACCTTTACACATCACCAGTATCATTCCTTAAGTCTGGATCTAAAAGAAAAAAGACATCAAACTTAATGTCTTAACTATCTTGTCTGTGTGCTGTGTGTCCACGCAGGTCAGATCTCGGTTGAGGGCTTTGCCAGGTATCTGAACGGGGAGGAGAACAGTATCATCCCCCCTGAGAAGCTGGACCAGAGTGAAGACATGACATTCCCCCTCTCCCACTATTTCATCAACTCTTCACACAACACATACCTCACAGGTAAATGCAAAAAGAATCTGTTATGTAAGCAGCTCTGTCTGTCTCTGTCAGATTTGTACTTACGTATTCACACTCAACACGATTTTACCCCTGATTGATTGCACACACACATCCTCATATTCATCTCCACATGAACAGATCATTTGTTCATTTAGAAATACAATTACGGTTGCAGGAGTGAATACACCTTGCTTCATGCCTCGCAGGTCAGTCAATCAAATTCGCCGGTGCATATCAGACCCCCTTTTCCTGTATTACCCCTCAAGAGGTTATCCAATCAAGTCATGCCATGAGACTCAATTCATTGATATTCATGAGTTAAATATTTCTTTAGACTGGTAGTCACAGTAACTGGCTCCATGGCAGGCACAATACACAGACCGTTTTCCCTTCAATGGATATTAGAATTCATCTATTCAAATCTATTCTGGTGGGAACTGGAGAGCACCGAATCTTTCAAGTGGATCAAATTTCTCCGGCAATCAAATAAAAATGGAATATTTTTAATGGACCAGCCTCACAGCCTGCGAAATGATAAAAACAAACAACAGGATCTCCTCTTCTCACAAACTAATTTTCTTCAGGTATTTTTGCAGAATGTGTTTCTGCCCTTGCACTATCGGTAAAGATCCAAGAAAATTATGCTAACAAGAGCTTGTGCAACTTATTCATTCATGTTGATCCTGTTGATCCCTGGCAAATTAGAGCAATGTTTCATACAATGTTCAACACGCAGACTAATTTAGTAAAGAAAGTCTTTCCCTGATGGGGGCGGATAAGAGTGTCTATCAGATGAAGAGAAAAATAGAGAAAAAGAATGGAAAAAAGGAGTGAGGAAATGAATGAACCCACCTGAAGTGACAACACAGAGCTGCCTCTCACTTTGACACCATTGCAGGAGAGCATGCTGCTAATGTGACGAGATAATTGCTTCGCTAATGGTGACAGGGTGATGAGATTTGCAAGGTTCAGATAACGACGGCTAAATTGTTTTTGCTGCATGCTAGCAACTAATGAGGTTAATGAGCTCTTGAAAAGCGAAAGGACGTGCTTTTGTAGGCATCTTGTTACCTTAGGAATCAATATAACAGTTACCTGAAGTGTGTGTGTGTTTATTCTGCGCGTGTGTGTGTTTGTTGCAGCCGGCCAGCTCGCAGGGAACTCCTCAGTTGAGATGTACAAGCAGGTTCTCCTGTCTGGATGCCGCTGCATTGAACTGGACTGCTGGAAGGGTCGCACCACAGAGGAAGAGCCCGTCATCACCCACGGCTTCACCATGACAACTGAAATCTCCTTCAAGGTAACACAAGGAGAGAGGAGTAATAGTGATGTTAGGGGAGGGGCAGGGTGGGGGGATAGGGGAGCAGAGAAAGAGGGAGAACGAGATGAGAAATTTTTTTCTCTGAAGACGCAGTTAATGTCTTTGTTTACGGACACAAAGAGAGGGGGATTGTGGGTAAATAGACATCACGTACAGATGATGTAATCCACATGCTACATCAAATGCTGATTACCTCCTCCAAGGAGGTTATGCTTCTATTGTTGTTTGTTTGGTTGTTTATCTGCCTGTCAGTAGAATTATTTACTACTGAACTCATTTCCATGAAATTTGTGGGCAGTGAGGCATTACCCACAGATTGTTTTTCACTTTCTTTAACAAGGTGAGATTGGGCATTGGATTAAGTGGCAAGGTGCTTTTCTAGTTGGTGCATGTTGGCTCTTCTTATTTTAGTTGCTTAAAAGGTTTTTTCCTGAAGCGTATTGCATTCCCTTGAGAAAAAGAAATCTGCTCTGTTTTTGGGAATTAACTTAATTATCTTGTTATTAAAGAAAAACAGAGTGGATCATTTTTTTCTCGAGGATTTTATCTTGTTATCTGGAGATGCTCTCACCGGCACAGAAGCTACAGTTGTTGCATATCAGACCAACCCTGATAAGCAACCCTCTACCAGTACTGTATTTTTACAAGTACGGTGTCCACAGAGGTAAGACACTTAAAGTGTCTCCTTTGCAGTTATAACTTGTGTTAGTGCAGTTTAATATCACAATGAACTCTCCTTGAGCTGCTACTTTGTCAGAAGTGCAGGAAAAAGACAAAACAGACTTGTGTTTCTTTTTTACAGAACAGCCAAATCATTTTATTAAACGTCAGTCAACCTGCTTTCATGCTGCACATCAACAACAGGACAGTAAAGATGGCTACCATGCAGATGAGTTGTGCAGCTCCTAATCCAACCCTTACCTGTGGTTGCTCCTTCTCGTTTTATTATTACTTAATTCCTTTCAAAAATCTAAACCCAGCTATTTGTGGCTGCTTCACAATGAAACCCAGCCCATGTTTTAACAGTAACTTGTTTTAAATGTCAAGCTATAGCAATAGTGACTTAACTCAGCTCTGATACATAACCAGAGCAAACAATAAACAGATATCTGTTGTCGGGGAGAAGGAAATGGATTGAATTACATGCATGCATTATTTTCGTATGAATCCTTCATGCATAGGTAGGCAGAAGTGGGAGATGAAAAGTGGGACATGCATTCAGCAGAGAGCAAATTGCAAAGACATGCACGCACTGAAAGATCCTAAAAAGAAGTGCTGAGCGGTGCTGAAGATTAGAGGACAAAGAGAATTGGCTTTTGTAATGCTAATCTATAAATCATGATTTCATTGTTTAACAAAAAATGAATGTGGAATAAACACACTGCAAAAGAATGCCTGTAACACTGTGAAATATAAACTTGCGATGCTTTCAACATCATTGTGAAACTTAAGTGCAGAGCCTGATTCAAATGAACAAGAAAACAAACTTACGGTTACTTACATGACCTCAGTTCTCGGATTAGTGAGAAGTGACTGTCTGACATTGGAAAACAGCCACAGTGTGACGTCTTCAGAAGCTGCTCTTTCATTCTGCGTGTGTCTGTCAGTGAGGATGAAGACCCTCCCCCATAAAGGAGGTTTGACATAATCATAAACACTCACCTACTCATCATGAAGGAGCACAGAGTGGTTTGGTGAGACACTCAGTGAAGAGGGGCCACGCAAGTAAGCTATACTCATTCTGTTCGGGTCTCACATTAGGAAATAGTGCTGGACAAATATCACCAACTGACCAAATGTCCAGAATGGGCTAATTAAGGAACTTTGACATCACATGATAAGAACCTTGTGAACCACCTTGTGTTCCGCTGACGGGGCTGCAGGAACTGCCCACCACATGATGCTTCTCTCTGATTGGGCAGCAGACTTGCCCACATCCTACGAGTCCGACATGGAGGAAGTCGAGAGCCCGTCTCCCACCAGTTCCACTATGGAGGGATCAGGTTATCCAACCTGGCCTGTTAGAGCCAGTTAAGAGTTATCACTCACCCTTGTTGGTCATGAGATTTGTCCCACCATCTGATGTCATTCCCTCCAGATAATTTAGAAGTATTGCTGCAAGACTTGAAGTCACTTCGCCGTCGCATTATTGAACAATCATAGATACTGTATTTCCCTCATGCAGGAGCGTGTGAAAATCTCGGGGCAGAGGAGGTGTCAAGAGAAAAATAAGAAAGATGTGGGTGGATCGATTGATAGAGGAAATTTAGATCTAATGAGAGTAACAGAAGAAGTAGAGCAAGCTTAATGGAATTAGTTTGAGAGTGAAAGACAGAGCTGTATATAGGAGACATGGAGGAAAGACGGAAGCTACAGATTAAGGGGGTGATATGTATTGGAGGAGATGGAGCAAATGGAAATGAAGGCATTAACTGAACTGACACCACTGTTAATGATGGTGTAATTGACTTAGACAATGAGTGGCTTGGAAATCAGATATCAGACACCACCTCATGGCTCAGCTCTCAATTCTATGGATTTCATGCTGGAATTTGTGTGATATGAATGAAGTAAGAATCAGTTGTCTCCGTCTAGTACGTTCTCGAACCAGAAGTTCAGCAATACTGGAAAAACGCTACATAAATACAAACCATTTTATCCAGAAGACTGACCAACAATATAGTGTTACATAGGAAATCCCCTACACTGACTTTCCACTGATAAATGCATTTGGAATGCACAGCCACAAAGATAATTCTTCCAGCAGTGGTGTGCACAATCAACCATAGTGCCATGTATCCAGAGGACATGTTGGCTATGGAATGAATCATCCTGACTGCTGGTGTTGCTTTCTCCTGCTGTTATTGATTTCATCAGGTTTGGGGATGTTCTCAGGGGGAGGCTCTCAGGCATAGGCAATGTAGGGAATCATAAAATTGGAATTGGGGACTATTGTGTCTGGAATACGAGCTGGAGAATATTGTTGTTGGGTTTTTTTTATGACTCTACAGCATTTCAATACACATTAACTAACGGTGACATATATCGTTTTTATTGTCACTGATACGATAACTTAAAGGTACAGTGTGTAGAAAGTTGTGATGTCTAGTGTGGAAATTGCTTGTTGCAGCTGAATATCCCTCACCCCACCCTCCCCTTCCAAACATGACAGAGAGACTGTAGCAGCCTGTAGCCTTTGTCATAAAAGTGTGTTTAGTTTGTCCAGTCTGTGCTAATGTAAAAAACATGGTGGGCTCCGTAGAAAGGACCCCCTCGATGTAAATATAAAGTGGTCTTTTCTGGGCCAAAGAAAACTACAATTAATACAATTTATATGAAACGAACTACTGAAAACATCAAGAGGATTATTCTACATTAATTCATCTAAATCTTACACACTGGACCTTTAACACAAACATGACAATCTGCCTTATATTTGTGTGGATTCAACAGAATTACCTCAGCAAAAGAGAAATGTTTTTGCCCCTGTCTGTTGGTTGGATTTCTACAAATGATGGGAAAGATGGGAAATGGGCCAAGAAAGAACTGATTAGATTTCAGGGTAGATCTGTCTTAAGAATTGTTTTATAAGAGACTCATTTCCCTGGATTTAATGTATGGATCTAAATTTTTCAAAATCAGGCCCATTTAGGGGACCAACGTTTGTGTGCGATTTGGTGCTGATCCAAATAAAAATCCATCTAGTGAATTTAAATGTGGTTGTTTAAGGGGGAATGTTCGACCTCTACTGACTATCATTCTATTTTAAAGTTTTACCATCCATAATTTTTCCTTTCTGTTCATCTTGTAGGAGGTGATCGAGGCTATCGCAGAGTGTGCTTTCAAGACCTCGCCCTTCCCTATCATTCTGTCTTTTGAGAACCACGTGGACTCGTAAGTCGCCAGATCATTTATGTCAGGGGTGTAAAGGCTACAGAGTGACTGTTGACCTTATTGTGGGTCTCATCAATGGATGGTTCACTGATGAACGTCAGTTTAAGCCCAATCAGCTATTTCATTTTAATCATTTAATGACGTGCAAACATGTGGAGGGGGATTCTTAACATTTGTAACATACATTTGTGTGTGTGTGTGTGTGTGTTGACTTTCAGGCCAAAGCAGCAGGCCAAGATGGCCGAGTACTGCCGGTCAATATTTGGAGACGCTTTGCTGACAGAACCTCTGGAGAAATATCCTGTGAGTATGCAAGATGCTTTTACACACATGCGTGTGCTCAGATTCAGATCATTCATGATTACATGCTCTCTTTCGTTTACTGCCTCTTTATCTCTCTCACACACACACACACACACACAGACACACACACACAACAAAAATACACAACATGGCCAGCAGCGAGATGTTATCGTGCAGATGAGACCAAAGAAGTGTCCTTGAACACTGTTGCCTAGCATTCAGCATGCTTCAGATGCACATAAACCTGTTTATAGGGGTGAACAAATACAAATATAGCTAATTAATTTGATTATATATTTTTATTTCTATTTGTGTATACTCTTTTTGTCTCCTCTCCATTTGTCTTTCTCACATCCAGCAACATATCGACATGCCTTCTAGCACCTGGCAAATTGTGTTGTCGCTGCTTTTCCTCTTGCTGTCACTCCGGGCATGCACCTAAATGGCATCCGCGACTTTATCTTGCTCTCTTTCTCTCTCTCCCCCTCTTTCTCTCTCTTACCCTCTGGTTTTCATTCTCATTTTCAATCACAGATACACACGCATACCTGTGGCTATTTATGTGCCACAGAAGCCAACTTTTAATGATTCTCCCCACTATCATTTTTATTTTGCCTCGCCGTAATCATGGCCGAGACTGCAAATGACAGCCATGCAAGATTAAATGGAAATGTTTTAGCGGGTTTTCTTGGCAGTCCTTTATCTATCTCTCCTCTGTTGCCATGACTACCTGTCAAAAGCTTGCTTTGTCTCTTTGTGGCCAACTCTTTTTTTTAACCCCCCCCAAAGGGGTCTTTGTGTGTAATAACACATTGCACTTACGTGAGGCAACTATACACACTTGTCGCACAAATTCTCACACTTGCTCGGCCTTGAGCACGCAACCCTGCACACATATGTACTGAAACATGCCACTTACTCCTCTCCTGTTATTCTCCTGGGACGACTTGTCCCTGTTGGTGTAACACTAAAGAACGGCTAAAGTTCCCAGCAGTCAGATGCAGCATTATCTCACAAACACAGGGAGCTCCTCCAGCACCGCCGCCTGCCAAAGACACGGCCCACTGAGAATTGCAGGCTTCTGACTGGATTTGACATTGAAGCATAATCGGGGAGAAGCCTTTCGAATGGAGTGGCAGGGGGAAGGAGAAGGAGATAGAGAGATACAAGGAGGCAGACGCCAAGGGAGGGATAGAGAGAGAGACAGAGACAGAAAGTGCTATTGAGGAATGAGATTTCTACCACTGAGCATGTAATAACTGGGAAAGGTGAGTGCAATGACAACCACTCCCCTCTGGCATTGAGACAGCTGTGTATACAGCATAGCGAATGGGATATCAGCTCTGTTAGTCCATAGGGTCAGGGCCAGATAGGGTAATATAGCTAGATTGGCTCCAGCTGAGCCTAGGGTGAGAATAAAGAGGATTACAGTTTTCTTAGAAACTCGAGTGCCGCCTGTATCTTCACACCACAAAACTGTCATTCACGTTGAATAGAATAGAGCGTTGACAATTTTTTGGATTGTTTTTCAATTAATCTGAGAACAGTGCTGATGAAGGCTGTATTGACAAAACATGATCACAATGACTCCTGACGGAAAATATGAAATATACACAACAGAATTTACAACTGTACACATCACTTTGTTGTCACTACACCCATCTTTCCCTGATTATGTTTACATGGACAACATTATTGTGATATTAGCTTGATTAAGACAATAGTCTGAATAAGCAACCATACTGTTTGACCATAATGAATTTAAACAGACAATAACAATGGTTTTAATATTAAAGTTCAATATCTAAAGTCAGCTGTAGCAACAGAGACTACACAGACCCCATGAACACAAGTTAACTACACGTACTAACTAGTTTTAACTATATTATTTGATTAGGTTTAATTACAGTTGACCACTGACGCAGACATCAGGTCCTGAAAGAATTGTAAGAATGTGGTTATAATATTTCTAGAAACTGACTCTATATTTAAGAATTTGAGTGTTTTCTGCCCCAACTCGTTTTATTGATTCATTCTGTTTGACTCCCATATTAAAGTAGAGTAAACAAAAGGTTTGGGGATTTATGGGAAATGGAATCAATGAAAGTAAAGTGTAATTTTATAAAAAAAGTTTAGTTCTGTGCAATTGAGCAGGGTCCAGATTACATGCCACACTCTGTCTGGAACTGGTTCCATTTAAGTTGAACTGTTTTAGTGAAGCCAAGGGAAACAGATTGTCTTATCTGTATTTTGTCACGTACCAAGTACAAATAAGGGTTCAGATTTGTGTATGGCAGCTGGGAAAGCAGGCTATTGGACAAAGAAGCTTTGGTTAAGTTTGGTGCATGAGTCACTGTTGTCTAGAAGTATATAGGCGATAAGTTGTAAAGATTCTGCTTGTGTGTATATTCAACACCGCTGCTGACTTTCTCGATAATACATTATTAATATCCCTAAACACTGTGATCTTAAAGCAGTGTACCCCATGAATAAATCAGAGATCTGCCTATTTCCTGTCGGCTCCCATGAGAGAGTGTGTATTTTTGTTTAATGCTCGGTTTCCTCCCTGGAGGCTGCCTTTAGTGAAGGTGTAAACTTTTTAGCTGTTACATCAACAGACTTTGCAAGCAGAATCATCCACCGTGAATTTTTAGCAAAACAAGATGAATTTACATGTTGAATACAACTGCGAATTACAGAATGTAAATAACTACAGCATTTATATTCTGTAATTCGCAAATATTTCTCCAAACTGAATATTTCAATACACACACACAATATGCAATAATAGCCTAATAAAAAAAGTATTTAAGGAATAACCATAAACAGAATAAGCTCACACAGAATAAGTCTAAAAAAACATATGGAAGTAAAGGAGCAGTCTCTTGCCACATATCAAAATTTTGGAACTTGACAACCTTTATTTTTATATTTTTCATCTGTTGTAACAATTTCTTTCATATTAAAAGCAGTCCTTCCATTCTCAACAGATTTGACAGTCAGGATATTGGATTTCATGGTTGTTATGCCTATGTTACCTCACAGCAGAAAGGTTGTAGGTTTGATCCTGACGGGCGACTGGGCCCTTACCATGTTCTCTCCATGTACTCCTGCTTCCTTCCACAGTCCAAAAACTTGCAGGATTAGTTAAATGGAGACGCTAAATTGCATGTAGACGTGGACCTGAACTCCAGAGGATGTCCACAGAATTGCGTCTAGACTTTCTGCACAGTTTGCCTTTCACATATGAACAACACAGCAGGAGATTCTCCGCTCAGACACGTTCACAACAACACAGAAATCTCTGGAGCGTTCAGGTGAGGGCTGGCGCAGCAGGCAGAGGCAGGATGTAACGTATTCATTTTTTTTCTTTTTGCATCTGTCGCTTGGTATAAAAACATCATCAACCCCCCCACACTCGCTTGCAGTGATCTCCTGCTGTGTTTTCACATCGGAGTTTTTACTACGGAGAAACTCATGTCTGAAAGAAGCTTCTGATGGACTGGTGACCTGTCCAGCATATACCCCGCCTCTTGCCCAACGTCAAGCCCACAACCATCAAGGGATAAGACGGATGGATGGAGGAACAACAGGATATTACATTACTCTGCAGAAAACTTTTCCTTAACTTTATATGAATTTATCTCTTTCTTTATTTCCATGACCTCTCTGTCTCCAGCTGGAGTCCGGTGTCCCACTACCCTGCCCGATGGAGCTCATGGGTAAAATCTTGGTGAAAAACAAGAAGAAACACCACAAGACAAACGGAAGTACCAAGAAGAAATTGTCGGAGCAGGTTTCCAACACCTACAGTGATTCTTCCAGTGTGTGTGAGCCTTCCTCCCCGAGCGCAGGTACAGAGCACACACACACACGCTCACACGCTCACATCCTCCTAACAGAGCCATCGAGTCACACTGGGACAACTGAGTTATGATGTTTCAGAAGTAAAATGTAGCCGGTCTGGGTCCATCTGCTCCACAGAGCGACACCTCTGTGCCGTCCAGGAACTGAATCACTGGAGCCAAACAGTGCTATTGTTTATCATTTATCATTTTCATGGCCCTCTCCATCAGCTGGAGCTGTTATTGGCTGTTGCATGCACTCCCTGTCAGGCATACACATTGCTAGTCACTGGGGCATCTTAAAGAGTGGCGAGCAGTGGCAGTGTGACGGTGAGTGTTCATGCAGCTGTGTGTACATTATAATATCACAGGGGTGACCTTTCACACATCTCAATTTATGGATTTTTATATTTTCACAGCTGTTCTCTGGTTGGAGTTTTCCATAACCATTCATATTTGCATTTTGGCTGCACTTCAGATGTGTCAGTGGTGTGTGTGTGAGTGCGAGTGGCGCACTTACATGCTTTTAATTTTACATTATATTCCCCTTTATTCAAAATGTGTGTTCATTGTATTGTTTTAAACTTTTTTAGTTTTAAACACTACCAGACAATCACTTTGAGTTTTCTTAATTGCTGAGCTGCTTGCATCATTCTTACACTAACACACACTGCCCCCTGGTGTAAGAAAAAATGCAACACAAGTGTAAGACGTAAACTGGTGTGTGCTCATTGACTTTGAGCTTGTCTATGCTGTCAAGAGACACTCTGCGATCATTGTGAGTTTAGCAATCGCATGTCTTGACATTCATTTATATTAAACTAGTAATTCATATGGATTGAAAAAAGTCAGATGACAGATATTAAATGGTTATGAAACACTTTGTTTAATTCAAACACAATACAAATTCACTTGTACTAAAAAGTAGTGAAAGGCTTACTGCACTGCATGCACCAACACTTCAAATGAGGCTTTGTTGTGTTTTCTACAATAGTTTGACCTTGTGTTATTAAAGAATGGGAGCTCTGTTGCTCAGAAGTTAGTTTTTTCCGCACAGGTTCAACCAAAGACGAGATGGCAGATTCTTCACAGCCCTCTGAGGGTGCTGAGCTCAGCCTGAGGCCGCAGGGCAGAAAGTCTATCGGTGAGTCATACATAGTACATGACCTCAGACTCAGAGGGAAATCTTTAGCAAGGCTCTCATTAGGCCGGCGCTGAAGCTGTAGGTCAGTTCACATTAATGTCCTCAGCCAGTGTGACCTCAGATTCCTTGGCAGATCTCAAGCAGGTCTCTCATTATGTGGGTGCAGAGGCTGTGTCAGCTCCAACAAAACAATATTCAGAAGAGTAACCTCGGTTTTGAGCTTTGTGTATTCAGCTGCTGGTGTTCCCCTTGTTTCTGCTCTAAATGTAACGTAGGCTACTGATCCTAAGTAAAGACTTTTTTAAAGATTTAAAACCACTTTGCTCAATATTTTTCCATTGAGCTTGTGGAAATAACAATTAGATTTCCACATATTTAAATTTATGTTATGAGATTATCTGTGACCAAATCTGTGACTCGTGTTTCAGGTGAGGTGGAGGCAGAAAGTGAAGATGAAGATGATGATGATGACGACTGTAAAAAAGGCTCGATGGATGAGGTTTGTCCTTCGCTCTGGATTCATTTCAAATACTAGGAATTTTGGAGATTCACAGCTCAGTGTAGTGGGCAAGTTGTGTGCTAAGACTGCCTCCTAGTGTCCGCATTTGTTAATACATTTAATTATTACTAATGCGTCTACAAAGTTCCTCTTAGTGTTTATGTAAAACATTGTGTGTGTGTGTGTGTGTTTGTGTGTTACAGGGAACAGCAGGCAGTGAGGCATTTGCCACAGAGGAAATGTCCAACCTGGTCATCTACATCCAACCAGTCAAGTTCAACAGCTTTGAGGCTTCCAAAAGTAAGTGAGAACATAATACACATCTGTCAACAAGTAACTACCAACAACTGCAGTTATGATGGTGTATTGGGGCCAATTAATAATAGTAGTAATAATTTTCCAACTTTGTTCTCTTAATACTACAAGAAAAAAAGTTGTAATTTTCAATAAATAAAGTCATTTAATTGTGAGAAACATAATAAATGAACAAGAATAAATTAGAAATTTTAAGTTTTATTTCATTTTACAGGAGAATATCAGAAGATCAACTTGTCGCCTACGTTAAAATGAGGAATGTGTAGCTGATGTTCAGTTACTTAATCTTACAAATACTTAATCTTTTAGCTCATAAGCTTCACATTATCGTATGTATCAGAACTTTGATAAGATTGTGCAAGAATCTTCTGCCTCCTCTGTTTATTTAGTAGTGGTCTACTGTCAGGCTGTCACTGGTTACATCTGCAATATATACTATACACTATACTACATACTTTCAAAGTGGTTGTGTAGTTTTTCAAGAAACAATAAGATTGGTTCAAGATTTTGGATCCAGAAGAAGTTGAACTCTGATGAACATGGGTTGTCTTTGCTGCCTCCTAAAAAAAATTCTTATGATATAACTTTTTCTTATTGAATTACAAAATGATTCTCATAATATTTAAACATTGTTCTCGAAATCTAAATCTGTCTAATCTAATCCAAACTCTGTCCTCTGATATAAATGATTGAGCAGATATTAATTTGTGAAGACATAAGCCATCCTAAAATGAGCAAGATTATATTCACCAATGTCTTAAGGTGTGTTTTCTCTTGGGAGGTTTTGGAATAAATTTGAAGAATTGCTGCAAACATGTGTTACAGCAGCGGCACATTTACACATCAATGTTTTAATCTAACCTTAGATAATTCTGATCAATATGTCTCTCTATCTATCTGCCTGCAGAGATCAATCGCAGCTACCAGATGTCGTCCTTCGTAGAGACCAAAGCTTTGGAGCAACTGACCAAATCCCCTGTAGAGTTTGTGGAGTATCCTTCTCAGTTTGACGGAAGCAGTGCTTCGTATAACTTTGTATGACTCACAGTAATTCAGTCTAATTAAGGTTTATGTATGTGTCAGTTTCTGTTCTTCCAGCATCACTATTCCTTCGATTTTGAATTTGACTTAGGCATGGGCCACTTTGGCTGCGAATTCAGCGCAAGTTGGCTGCATCGCAAATCTGATGTGTCTCACACGTGTCTATTGTTCACACAGAGAGCGTGAATGTTGTGTGCATGCTGCGGAGCTGCTTCGTGAATTCTATAACTCAACTAGTAGCCAGGATTCTAAGACATGAAGCCGTAGATCCCTTAACAGAAGTGCTTTTACTTTGAAACAGGTACTAGAAGATTTGAAAATATTTATGTTTGTGACACAAATGGATGTTGAAACTGTGAAAGATCTGTTTCACTCTGTGACTCTAGAAGAACCGGCACTGAGACACGTGGCTCTTGCAGACAGTGTGGCGGCTCTAACTTGATCAGCCCAGTTGTTATGGTAGAAACAGCATCATTATGCTCTTTATGGTCACTTTGTATCGTGGCAGATCTTGTCAGTGGAAGTAACAGATGATAAGATAATATACAAAAAATAAATAATTCTGATTTTGAAGCAGTATAACACGTATACACAGATGTACTAACAGCAGAGGTTATGGTGGCAGCTGCAGAAGTAGCAGTGTTTTTTAATGCAGGTCATGCAGCCTCATCCTTAACACAGCTCCTCAGATACAACAAGCTGCAGCTGAGCAGGATCTACCCTAAAGGCACTCGAGTGGATTCATCCAACTACAACCCTCAGCTCTTCTGGAATGCTGGCTGTCAGCTGGTGGCTCTCAATTTCCAAACCATTGGTGATGGACGATCCTTCATTCCTTCACTGTCGGAGCAGTTATTATTATCTTTAAACTGCATGTTTGATTTGACTGTGGTCATCCTCGTCTTCACTCCACAGATTTGTCCATGCAGCTGAACCTGGGCATGTACGAGTACAATGGCAAATGTGGGTACAGACTCAAACCAGAGTTTATGAGGCGACCAGACAAACACTTTGACCCTTTCACTGAGAGCACGGTGGATGGGATAGTAGCCAACACACTGTCTGTTAAGGTATGTGTTGGTCTTTTTTGTGTATGTGTAGCTCTGTCTGTGTTCGAGTGTATTTATCTCTCTCTCTGTTGTTTACTCTCCGTACTACTTCCTTACAGATTATCTCAGGCCAGTTCCTGTCAGATAAGAAAGTGGGCACATACGTGGAGATCGACATGTTCGGCTTACCCGTGGACACCAAGAGGAAAGCTTTCAAGACCAAGACATCTCAGGGCAATGCCATCAACCCTGTCTGGGAAGAGGAGGCCATTGTCTTCAAGAAGGTGAGACGAAGTGGTCACGTTCTATTTGAACAGTTCACATGCTTGGAAGTAAAGTTTCAGTCAATTTTATTGGACAAGTATGATGACACATACAAACTAGAATGGTACACAATAGAGCAATAGAGTCAGTCAACGACCAACAATCCCAGTAACAGTATATGTGTATAAGATAACAGCTGAAAATGTTTGAGCAGCACGTGAAATAAAAACATAAACATAATAAAGTAGTATTATATTTGATGTATCTTACTGTTGACAGAGATGTTGGTCTCAGGAGAGAGAATCACTTGGGTGTGTTTTCTATATTTCCACAGGTTGTTCTGCCAACACTTGCTTCATTAAGGATAGCTGTATTTGAGGAGGGAGGAAAGTTCATTGGCCACCGCATCATTCCTGTGTCAGCCATCCGTCCAGGTGGGTTTTGATTCCGTCCAAGTGGGTTTTGATTCTGTCCAGGTGGGTTTTGATTTGACATTCCCCCCATCATTATCCACCGTCATTTTCAAGAATCATTAACAAAAATATGTAGAGGCAATGGTGCATTAACAATATGTTCAAGAATGCAAAGACATGAAAACAGAACAAGGTGACATGGGTAACTGTACATTTTGTGTGAATCATGAACCAGAGGATGAAATGTTTACAGAAGCTACAGTTGTTCTCTTAAATGTTTTTAACTGATTGGATGCTTTGCTACTGTGTAGGTTTATCATTTTCTTTACTGATGGATGTTTATCTCCTTTAAACCCTGCAGGCTATCACTACATCAGCCTGAGAAATGAGAAGAACCAGTCCCTGACGCTGCCCGCTCTGTTTGTGTATGTAGAAGTGAAGGACTATGTTCCAGACACATTTGCAGGTGAGTCAGGTGAACTTATTCAAACTAAAACTTGAAATGTGTTGAACCGAAAAGGCTGCACGTCCAAAGTCTTTCTTTGTGTTTCTCAGATGTCATTGAAGCTTTGTCCAATCCCATCCGCTATGTCAACCTGATGGAGCAAAGAGCAAATCAGCTGGCTGCTCTCACTCTGGAAGAGGGAGGAGAGGAGGAAGGTGACAAAGAGGTGTGTGTTTATACTAATTGCTGCATCACACATGGACTTGTGAGGTGTGTTTGTTTTGTATGTGTGGAAAGCTTTGTGCTTTATTAAACAGTTTCTCAATGAGATGAGCAGCCCTGTGGTCAGCTGCTGGTATGACATTCATGTGGTCGGGAGTCTGAGAAGCTGCAGAAAGAAGTGGAGCTCCTTTCCTTTAGAAAAACTTAGTACGAGGAGGGTTTTTTAATAAAACCACAAAGTACATTAACACCCAAAGCCAGCACCATTGCAGTAGAAGATAAATTGTGCACCACTGCTTGCTTCCAGCACAGATATTATCAAAACACTTTGTTTGGGCTATTTTTCATTCCCAGTCCCTCTATGATAGATTGTAGTGCAGCCACAGCTGTAGCAGCACTGCTCCTGTATTTAATCAAGTCTCTTCCAGCCTCTGCCTGCAGGCCCTGATACTAGGTTTCCTCTGGGGGATGGGTTCTGTTACTGTGATTCTGTGTACTTTCATTATTATGCTTAAAGGTAATTCCTCCCAGGGAGTAACACATGTAATTAATCATCAGTGACTGAGATGTTGCTTTGTCCATGTGACAGTCTGACCATGTTAAAAGTCTAATTTCCCAAAAGTAGAGTCTATTTTGAGGTTCACAGACTAAATCAAATTAATGTTCAACATCTGGAAAACTAGTGCAGAGAGTGAGACACTTTCTTTTAAATATAATGCAGCAGGTGACCAAAAATACCAATATACAGTTTCAAACTAGTTCTATAGGTCCAAGGTTATTTTGTTTGACTTGAAACAACAAGAAGTGTTTTTTTCATTTTTGTTGTCTAACATTATAACAGTTGTATAAGAGCTTAAAGCTGCTTTAATTAAAATATCAATATTTGCAGTTTATGAATTGTTTTAATGTAAATGGATAATGTAAAATGGTTTGCTTCCAAACCCATAAACTATTATTGCCAAACTCTGCCTCACAGAACATTTTAGAATTTTTCAGCTCATAATTTTTAATTACCTATAAATTTGCTGTTTTGGTTTCGCGCTAATTTAATTTTAACTTTGTTTCCAGAAGCGTTATTAATTAATTAAATTATTTATTATCGAGAGTTTAATTAATTACCAATGTGATTTAATAGCAGTTTAAGTCTGACACATTAAATTTAAAAACCCTCCCACACTAAAAGCACAATTTATGAACTACTGAACTGGACCCATGTGTTGTGGTACACTTTACACTGGAGCAATGCCAACTGCTGTATATGAATCTAAACTCTCGAGTTGGCAGCGATCTTTAACTTCAGTACAGGCTTCAGTTGAGAAGGTTGTAACAAGTCCTGGCTGCCTCAGAGAACGTGACCTTCTGTTTTGTTCCAAGTGACGTGGAAGAAGAAACGATTACACTGCATATACACTATGTTACACACATGGGACATCGGCCTTGCAGTTGAAAGCATTTTATTAAATGTGTTAACTTGTAAATGGGATGGTGTAAGTCATTTTAAGTGGATCTAATGGAGAGTAGCCAAGGTATAATGTGGGTTGCAGTGCAACAGAGAACAGGGAAAGTGACGATATCTGAGCAGAGATCTGAACCATTTCTGAGTTTGGATACATTTAGGGTGAGAGGCCAGGCAGCACACAGGGTTATCTGAGGTTATTAGAGAGGGGGACTGGAAAGAAGGGTTGCTCCTGAGGGGCTCCTCTTATCTGATTTGCCAGCTGATAAGATTTCCCACAAGGGCGGCTGACAAAGAGCAGTTTCATGCTGTGACCATGGCAACAGACGCCAAAAGAGGTAGAGCATTAAAAGGCAGAGCACAGTTCGCCGAGATGAATATAAAGAGGAACAGTGGAAGAAAGGAGAAGGTCCAGCTATCGTGACAAGAACAGAGATTGCAGAAATTGCATTAACCTTTCTGAGATAAGAGCGTATAGTCGGAGATTCGGCCGAGCCAAGGGGAAATTAAGACCTGCTCAGCCCCGGCACAGGACGCAATGCTGCGAGTGGGTTACCAGAGCTATGTCTACAAACTGTCCTGCAGGACACAGGTACACCAGGAGCCTTCTGAAACAGATACGACCACTTGAGGACATTTATATTCCTCCTAAAAAAATATACAGCAGAGATGTGTTGCACTTGTGGCAAAAGATGTGCCACTGCCGTCAAACTTTAAAAGCACTTTCCTTAATATATAAGGAGCTCTAACTTATTCAAACTATTTAACTTTATTGATTGTAAACAACAGTTCTTATTAGGTTTTGTATCTTGTTCTGTAGAAGTATCAGTGTTGAGTAGTGTAATCACTTGTATTGACTAACAAGTGGGTTGATCGAACTGTGGAGTGAAATGTTTCTGTGATGGACAGGTGGAGGCAGGAACTGACGCCCCCTCAGAATCGAGGGTGGACCAGAGGGTAACGACTCCCGCAGAAAACGGACTGAGCCACACACCCATCATCACCCCGAAACCGCCGTCACTCGTCGGCCAGACTCAGTCTGCAGGTGCTGCATAATCCCAGCAACACATGTGCAATAGTTCACAGTCCATTGTATTTCAGGATTGTATTGTAGGTGCATTATAAGTTGCATTATAAGCTGATTTGTATTGTTCTTACATTACCTTTAGACATCACATTTACTTCATATTTAATTTAATTTAAACATCAAAATGGCATTTTGACTTTATTCTGCTATAATTATTCTGTCTTTAATCATCATAATACACTTATTTAAAATATCATATGGAGAATAATTCTGGGTTTACGGGTTAATAATGAAAAACACAAATAATAAATGTGTCTGGCTTCAAGATTATTAATCAGCACAGAAAATATTTGCTGCCCTTATTATCTGACTTTGATTCTATAAATAATCATATAAATGTCAAGTTCTGACATAATTTGTAAAAGTTGTATTGTACAAATGACTTCATTAACTGTACTTGTTTTGTTGCCAGGCTCACTGAAACCATCAGTGAAGAGTGAGGACATCGTTCAGAGTGTTCTCACTGGTAAGATGATGGTTTTAAACATCACCCTGTGGTGACGGATTTTATTGAAATGATCCCTGATTTATTGTAAATGCAATGATGGGTTAGGGTTAGCCATGACAAACAATGATAAACTATGAAAAGAATTGTTGTTGCTACATTGTTATTGCTAATATGATTCTGTGGCAACACATAGAAATGTCGTGCCAAAAAAGAATTGAATTGAAATTGTCAAATGTGTTTAAACATAATCTGGTTTCAAGAATATTAAGTGTTTTGTTTTGCTTGTGTATCAATGATATACGTTTGAAATTGCAAGATAAAAATACCTTTTCGACTTGAATATTGAGACTAAGTGCACCTTAAGCAATAGAAATCATTTAAATTTTCTTTTTCTTTCACTTTTTTGCTCACTCAAATGTTAATCTTGTTTGTCTGTTGTCCTCCATCCATTTTCCGTCAGAACTGGAAGCTCAGACGTTGGAGGAGCTGAAGCAGCAGAAGGGCTTCGTTCGGGAGCAGAGGAAGCAGTACAAGGAGATGAAGGAGCTGGTTCGGAAACACCACCGCAAGACCAGCGAGCTGATCAAGGAGCACACAGCTCGCACGTCCGAGCTGCAGAGCCAGCATCAGCGCCGGCGCTCCGCCCTGCAGAAGAGCCACAAACGAGACGGTAAGAAAAGGTAGGTAGTCCTCCTCTTCTCCACTTCAAACTGTTCTATTGGTTGACCTCATCACACTTTTCCTTTTCATTTGCTGTGTCTTCAAACAAAACCCATCAAATATGCATCAACACTCAAAAGAAAAAGACATAGAGACTAGCAAACCTTGTATTAGCAGCCAACTGTTACTAAATACTAGAGGAAAAAGGGAGATTTTAGCTTTATCAAATCACATGGGCTTCTGTATAAGCTCCCACAAGACATTTTATTTTCTACATAGAAGAGAAAACTATATAAATACAAACATAAAATGTTCAGTAAGCTCTTTTCTTTGAGCTGTAAAGACTCACTTGCAGGTATATTGTTGTCACTCTCCACTTGCACACACTTTCCATGTTTCCATGTGTATGTGTAGCTAACAATTTTGACGAGGCGCTTCTCTTGGGATATTTAAAGTCATTCTGGGAAATGCAGTAAACCTAAACACATGAGGCAACTTTTGCCACACAGTGAAATACATATTAAATCCAGTGTTGCATGTTAAACAGCTCAGAGACAAAAAGTATAGGACAGAAGTTGGCCTCCTCAGAAAGTTAAGAATGAAAATCTGTGGATAAAGTTCCCCTCAAACCATGGGGACCCATTCAGGACCCACAGGACTCCATCATACACTGAAGAATCAGAACTCCCTGCACACATGACCTCTGAGGCCCACAGCAAAAGAAAGATAACACATTCAAGCGAGTTACTTTGAGATAAGAGTCCTCTGTTATGTTTGAAATTACTTCAAACCCTGACGTCAGCGTTCTTAGAACCACTGCCTGAGGGTGCTCTGCAGACATGCAAAGAATATTATTTCAATTACCAGCAGGCAAACTGTAATAGAGGTTGCTCTGATGAATAAAGCAGTTTTTTAAATATACAATATATATATGGCGTGCATTTATGAACTGTATCTTTATAAGTTAGGTGCACTCGTCTGTCGTTGAAGCAAAATTAATTTGTGAATGTTCTGTTCGTGTGTGTTTGCGTGGACTCGTCCAGCCGGTCCGAGCACTCTCTATCCACCCTGGACAAGGAGCTGTGTGAGCTGGATCAGGAGTGTAGCCAGCGGCTCGCTGAGCTGAAGGAGCAGCAGCAGCAGCAGCTCCTCACGCTTCGCCAGGAGCAGTACTACAGCGAGAAGTACCAGAAACGAGAGCACATCAAACAGGTGCTCACAAACACACACATGACAAAAACACACACAACAAATACATGTTTTTAAGTGAATGGGAAAACAATATTCTGCCTGAACTCACACAAGCGTTACAGTAGCAACAGTGATGCACTTCAAAACAAAAAAGCAGTTGTGAAGACGTAGCCTGATAACTAGTCATAGGATCTTATTATGTCCGTTTTCATTTCAATTTTAAGAGATGCCTCGTCTAAACGTTTTTCCCTACCATCTGTCTGTTCTTATATCTTATATATGTTCCCTGGATGTCTACTAAGTATTTTGTAATAATTGCTGCACATGTATAGATATAGAGGACTTTTAGCTTTAGTCCACATGTGGACCAGAGTTATTGACGCATGTCAGGGTTTCTGCCCAAACGGTACACAAGTACAGTGGGATAAACAGAAACACATTTGACACACACACACACACAGGAGCTTGCCCTGACTTGTATTGGATTTGATATAGCGCTGACTATCCCAAAGAGGCTAATGCAGATTAACCACATGAAGCAAATAATGAATAAATGAATACTGCCCCCCCCCCCCCTCAGAATATTGCTGCAGTCATTCTGCTGCCTGTGCACATGTTCTGCTGCATGGGGTGGAAAAATGAATGTCTTCTGCTCCAGTACACCTCTGATGTGAGCACAGCTGAGGTGTCACAAATGGAGGTTGTGTTGTTTCCCTGATATGAGTGCAGCTTGATTGGGATCAGGATGTAAACAAATGAAGTTAAAGTGAAATATTAACTTGTCCCACTGACTAAACCAAAATGTTGTTCTTTCTCTCCGATTTTGACTTTGTCTCTAGCTGGTTGAGAAGCTGACCACCATAGCAGAGGAGTGCCAGAGTGCTCAGCTCAAGAAGCTCAGAGACATCTGTGAGAAGTAAGTACACAGCACAAACTCACAGAAACCTTGTTCACATTTTCATTCCCCCTCTCAATGTTTCTCTCTTTGTTTCATCACACACAGAGAAAAGAAGGATCTGAAGAAGAAAATGGACAAGAAACGGCAAGAGAAAATTAATGAAGCCAAATCTAAAGACAAGAATGTGACAGAGGAGTAAGTATTTTAATTTGATCAGATGAATTAAGTCAATTTCAGTGTGGGTTGTTATACACATTATGACCACTAGATGTCACTGAAGATTAAAGATTTAGCACCAGAGTGTCTGGTTAATTGATTTGCCTGTAAAATTCTTCCCTTAGAGAGAAGCTGGAGATCAACAGATCGTTTGTCAATGAGGTGGTGCAGTACATCAAACGGGTAAGAGATGATAATAGAAGAAGTATGATAGAGAACATTCTGTAATCAATATCACTGTGTTTCGCACCATCAGTAGAGTTACTACAGGCTACAGTTCATACACACATATGTTCATTTATTTATGGGTACATCCATTTTGTGTGTGTGTGTGTTTGTAGTTGGAAGATGCACAGAGTAAAAGACAGGAGAGACTACTGGAGAAGCACAAGGACATCCGCCAGCAAATATTAGACGAAAGGCCAAAGGTACGACATTTATGATCTACTGCAGATTCATATTTTTTGATTCCATTACATATCACCGGTCTGTTGAATTGACAGGATCGACCATCCGGGGTATCAGGGGTGCAGGACCAGCTGCTCATTTTTACCACTGGGTGGCGACATTTGCCAGGTTTAGTTTGATGTTGCTTATAGATGCTGCACTGTCTGGTACTTGTGTGCAAAATGTCAGAAACACATTCATGAATAAGAAGATGTTGCTGGGTTAAATGCTAATTCCTGCTTCACTGTCCATGGTAAACAGTTCATCTACATGTAAGAGTTGTGGGGTTGTGTATTAGTGAAGAGTGGTTAATTGCTTCTATGCTGAAGCTGCAACAATGGCTGTAAAACAACCATGGCACTCATCCATACGCTGCATATACGTGGGTTTATTGTGAGGGGACCACTTGTGTGTGCTTGTGGGAGTTCTGCTTTTCTTCTGTATGAGATCTCAACCTTGACATTGTGACTGTCATTGTAGGAGGGCTCTGCAGCTGAAGAGCTTGGTAAGACCATTGTCGCATCCCAGTGTTCAGTATTAATATAGCATCCGTGTAGCAGCATTAATATGCAAGCTTTATACGCCTCGGCCACTGACGCGCAACAATTGAATGTGCACTGCATTTCTATTGCAAATACATTTTATTTATAAGAGCAAGAAATAGGCTGAGTAACTGTAATTTAGCAGTAATTGGCATAGCATGGTGGCATAACAGCGGTAGCAGATTGGCCTGTACAGTGAGATCACACCCCAGTTGGAGTGTTCAGATTTAATCCCACCTGTCAGTGTCCTTGAGCAAGATCCTCCACACTAATCAGACTAAAGAGGAAATAACTTCACCATTGTAGGTTTATTGTTATTGTGCATCTAAACACTACACTGCTGCTGCGCTAACACAGAATTTTGTTCCCCTGACCCTATAAAGAGGCGGAGTCGTCTCACATGTAACATATCTGTAACATGAACCCGTCACACTAATTATTAGCATGTTGTTTGGAGTGATCATGATGAAAATATTATTTCTCTCTCTCTTCTTTTCTTCATCTCTTTCAATGAGCTTGATAAGATTGTGTTGCAGTGCAGTGAAAGCCATGTTACAAGCCAGAGCCAGTGTAATGAAGATTACCTCTGCTCTACCAAGGAAACACTCTGCCGTGCTCCTCCAATCGTGTTTTTAAGTCATGTTGTCAAAGAAGCATGGAGACATATACAATATCTACTCATTAGAGTCTACAAGGTCTCCTGTTGGAGACAGTTCCATGACCGCCCACTCTCAGAGTGATAGCTCCCTGTTCCTTTGAAACCTCTCTGAGTCGAGTGTGGGAGGTGCGGCACAGACGTGCACCTCAGTGCAGCACAGACAACCTCATGTGAGGTGCTGGACTGGGTTCCACAAAGCTGCAGTAGGGAGAGATGAGGTGAATGTGTGCTAGAGGGATTTGTTTAAAACAAAACAGGAGGATAAATTCAGAGATGATTGTGTTTGCCTTGTTAACCAGTTGGTTTTCGTGTAAATGACTCAGGACAGTCGTCATCTTTGTCAATAACACCCCGATTGCACTGATTTCACCCAGTCAATATGACCTGTGTTCAACTAGTGTCATTAGTGTCTAATCAAGATTGAATTTAGCAAGTTTCCTTGATTAGAGAGAGAGAGATGCAGATGCCGCTCTGCTCTCTTTTTCTTTTCTAGATCACTTAAATATTGCAATCAGATCTCATTCTGTTAGCAATTATTGTTTCCCACAAAATTGTAACTGATTATCTATCACCTAAGCTGCTGTCACAGTCTCTCCTCTAAATTGACATTCGCATCATGGCAAATTTAATTTGCAGGAAGAGGGCTATTGCATAGTAATCAACCACCTCTGCAATATCTGTTCTCCTGCTATGGCTGTCATCTGTATGCAAATAATGCAAGAGATGTCAGAGGGACACGGCTCTGGAGACAACGAGCAGAAGATGCTCAGGGTTATGTTTGTTTAAAAATCAGGATGCTTCCCACGTCACCCAAAATAAGGAATACATTTATTGTGTGAAATTATTCAGTTAAATCGTATTAAAATACAGCGACAGAACCATGTGAAACAACCTGGTTTTATCATTCATATCTTAAAGCGCAACCGATCTTAGGTAGTGCTACTGTTTATGCAAAAGAAGGTGAGTGAGTAAAGCCTAGATGTGAGGTCAGCACTGTTAACACGTAATAATGAAGGTGCTATCTGAATGCAATCCATTCACCTCTATCGGCTGGTGAGTTAACTGTGATTAAGTCCTGATGAGAGTAAACAACGACAGATAGATGGACAGATAAATATAGATCGCTGGAGGACAGGATGTAGAAGCTCCGATGTGGGTTAATGGATGTGGGAATATATAAAAAAACATATTTTTGTTTCATGTGTGTTAGTAAAAGTGAATCAGAGACACAAAGATGCAACATACTTTCTTTCCTGGAGAGAGTTCTGACCCACTTTTTCCTCTAAGCTCAGTTCAGCCACTTTAACCATCCCAGGTGGAGGCCCCCAAGAGTTTAGCAACCCGCTACAATGTGTGTGAAATCACATGCATGTGATTTATCAACCCAACATAAAAAGGAACAGTATCCTAGTCACACAAGAAAGCAAGTAATGGCTACTTTGTTGACAAACCCATGATTGAAACACTTAATCCAATACAAACAAACAATAATACATTATTATACAATAAGCATATAAACTAAAAGACATAAGCTTACAGGTTGTCTTTATCCATATCTTAAGATAATGATGACTGTCAACAGTCAACAGGTAAACACAAACAAATGTAAACAAAGGTATTATGGCTCAGTGATTCATGACATGTCTCCACTGCCACCTGTTGTATAAAAATCTTGAAGGAAAATGTATTCATCGTCTATTTTGACTTTTTATGTTAGTCCATGTCCTATCTCTTTACATGTGGGAGGTGGGGGTTTATAAACTATTCTGCAGCCAGCCAATAGTGGGCGATCAAGATGAAATGGCGTCACTTTTGGGTAGCTGTCATGTCGACCCCCTTTATATGCAGTCTCAATTGGCACCAAACAATTTAAAGATGAAGTTATGTAAAATGTGAGCGACATAAAAGATTTGTAAAAGTCTGAGTAAGGTGATCTCTTAAACTGAAAGCAAAGGGAGAAAGGCAAAAGAAAGACATGGTGACATATGTCGTCACTCGCAGTGTGTGCACTCGGGTGTCAGCGTCCTGCTAATGATCCAATCAAAACGCCCCCCAGGAGCCAGCAGTGCCCAGCACGATGGCAGGTTCAGCTTCGACACACCTCTAGATCTTATATCCTGTCATGTAGATTCCTCTCATCTTCCCCTCCTGCTCTCACACGCAAGGTCAAGTTCACAATGCCACCTGTTATTATTCACACATTAAGTCAATGTGGTCTTTTTATTAGTAGGTAAAGGAAGCTACAGACTCACTTGTGATGTTTTTCATTTTTAGATTTGCAGCGGCATCATAAGAATTGTACTTTTTGATTTAAGTCAGCTCGTTTCCTGAATACTAATAGCTGAATACGATTAGTGAAAAAACATCTACAGTCACTTACTATAGAGCAGCTTTTTCCTAACATAACCGTTTTTGACATCAAATTGAAGTCAGAGGAATTTTGTGTCTTCTGTGTGATACACTGTTGGAGCTATAGTAGTCAGTTCACATTTTTATTCAATCAAACTATACAGTAAAAGACGGATGTTCAGCGTTAAGGATTGCAGCATTTTATGATTGTCCTCAACTAAAGGCTTACACCATGAAATAGTGATGAGGCAATATGTTTCACAGTAGTGTGCGTAGGTGTATGTGTGTGTGGTGTGTGGTGTGTGATATTTTATTATATTGGAGACATGCTGATTCCTTCTACTTAGATTAAAAGGAGGATCTGATCCTATGGTGTCTCCCCACTGTGCAAGCCTTGAACCAACACACATATATGTGCACACACACTTATTCGTTAGACGAGCGGGAGTTCTTTGTGGTCGTCATGGAAACCTCCCCCCTCATCTCCCCATCTCCCATATCCCCTTCAATCCCAGTCTCTGCAATCTGTTAATTTGGAGCCGAGTCCTTATGACGCAATTTCAGGAATGATGACTGGAGGTGGAGGACTCTCTTGCACTATTTGATGAAGGTCACTATGTTTGATCTCTGGGTGGTCTGTTGCATCAATAATGCTCTTGTGCCCATGCATACACACACACGCACACACACACACNCACACACACACACACACACACACACACACACACACACACACACACACACACACACACTATACCCGCAGGGAACACTGTGTGCAAACCAGGGGCAGTGAAGTAAAATCCATCGTGAGTGTGCGAGTGTGCGTACATGTTGCACACTTGGTTAACACTCTGCTCTATCATGCTAGCTGCTATTTTAGTGCATGAGCGTTCATTATGTATGCACATGTGTGCTAATGAAGCTCTCCAGGGTTGTGCTCCGTCTGAGGAAACTCATGACTCCTGAAACTATCCCTCTCTGCAGTGTAGTTCTGAGGTTTATGGCTTCAGCTGGAGCAACGCATCAGTTGAGAACAGCACCTCTGGCTCCTGATGATATGCAGAAGAGAGAATGGGTGGATGTGAAAAGGAAACTGTGATTATATTAAAGTTTGGCAGTATATTATAGTCATTATTCAGTCATTATTGCCATATTTGAAGCCTAAAAGTCTGCAACCGGAAGTTGCAATGCCTGAGGATGTAGGGATGCTATCGCATGCCCTTGGGACACGTTTCTGGTGTGTACGCATACTTGAATGCAGCTCTGAGGAGGATATCAGAGGACATTCATGTGTTAAACATGGTGTAAATGATGCCGATTTGAATGTTAGGGCTTCCAGACACGTGGATGACACCACAGGAGCAGTATGGAGGCATGTTGTGGACTCAAACACTTCACCCACCCCTCCATTGGCATAGTAGTGAGCAGATATGAGTGAATTTTCATTTTTCTGTGAACTATCCCTTTAAGCTTTACAGCAACAGGGTGTGACAGATGAGAAAAGTCAGTGGAACTTTAAAAACAGTGGTGGTGACCCTCGTCTCATTTCTTGGACATGGGATCTTGGGTTTAGCCTAATTGGGCTGTGTTTGGATATGCAGTGTTCCTCAAGGTCAGGACACACATAGCTTTACACATCACACAATCTATGTAATGAGGCTGCTTTGGTGGCTTGGATCCATGTCACTGAAGACTATTTCCAAGCAGTGACAGCATTTTATCGTGACTGTAAGACGTTGCACGGTTAACATAGCTGCATAATGTAGCTGTGGATGCGGTGTGTTGTCAGTAGAAGAGGGTTTTGGCAGCGCTGCAGCAGGCGTTATGTCATGGCTCAAAGCAAAGAATTAATTTGGCTCTTCAGAGGCCTTCTCCACTTCCCCTGATAGATCCTGAAAACGAGGACAGCTGGTGAAGAAGGTCACTGAGTGCTGTATTTTAAGAAAGGCAGAAATTTGTGTGTGTATGTGTGTGCGCACGTGTGTGTGTGTGTGTGGGGGGGGGGGTTGTTGATGGATGACAGATCTTCAGAGATGAGAGGCAGATTTAAAAGTTGGCTGGATAGCTGCCGTTGCTGGTTTGTGTCCAAACAGAAACTGGCCCGCACACACACACATCTTTTGTCTATTTACACTATGCAGAAGTACACACAGCGAAACTACACATGCAAACATAGATTAGAAAGGAAGATGAACAGTATTCTAACCTTGTGTAATTTAAAGGACTATTTCTTTCGGGCCTTATGGTTCAGAACATTTGTGCAATTGATGTCTCAATGAGAATTTAAACAGATTTAGCATGACAGTGATGAACCACCAGCTCCAAGAAGCCTGAAAGTGTGTTTAGTAACAGATTTCTTCACTTCACAAGAGTAAAGAGAACATTTCAGATGTTTGGAGATGATCATGAAGGCTTCGATCAGGAAGACTATCCAAAGACTGCAGCTCTAGGTTTCTGTTCTCTCATTTGTCCATCTTTCTATCATTTCTTGAGATTTCCCTTTGTGAAAACAAAGTGGGGGCGTTATTGGGATTCAAACTCTAACAGACGGCTTTAACTGTCTGCTTCTGAGCTGTTGATTATATTCACGGGAAACACACATTGATACAAGCAGATAAAGACGGACACATGTCTTTCTGGGAAGTGCCTGGTGACTGACTCCTCTGCCCCCTGCTCCCACCTCCTTCACATGTCCCATGGTGTCATCAGATGGGAGAAAGATGACAGCTTTAATCATAGGGTGTTTGTGCCTCAGCAGGCAGGCTGTACACACACACTCGCACACACACTGTGCAGACTGTCCCCCACCCTTAAGTAGGTCATGCGCAGTGCAGAGCCGGGGAAAGAGAGACGAGCTGTGGTACATCTCTAGCCATCTGGTTGCGACGTGCTGGATGTCCGCTCTGTGAGACCCACAGAGAGAGTGAGAAAGAAAGAAAAGAGGAAAAAGAGAGTGAGAGGAAGGGAGCGAGGGAGAAGGAGGGAGGCATGTTTCAGGGAAGGTGACCTTGAGATGCCGTGTTTGGTGGGGGCTCTCACACACATTAATGTAGCACTCAAAACATCTGAAAGACACAAGTCAACAGCTCCTTCATTTTGCATAAAGACAGACAGCATCAAGTACACTGCAGCTATTGGTGTTAACTTGCTGATTCACTTGTCTTAAGTATTTTACGTATACTTTTAAATGTATATGTGACTTATTTTCATTCTGCTTGTGAAGGTTTTATAAGAAAAATATTACACACCGACAAGTATTTGTGGTAAATACAGCTGATGAGATGGTAGCCTGTGGATTTCTCGTGAATGGTACATTAATTCTGATAGAAATATTCATTGTATTTCTAACAACAACATGACAACAGACCATGAAATTGAGCTATTAAACTACTGAACACCAGACAGTATTTCTTTATTCAACATCATTTCCACAAGATGTGACAGGGCACACCATACGCTGTGTATAAAGATGGACGACACGTCTCCACCTCCTTCCACTGTCCAGAAATGAAGCTAAAATGTCCCAGACTTGAACTCTGCCATCTTGTGCATTTGAAGCCTTGATCTGGGCAGAAGCGATCAGAGGTTGGAGGAATGGAGGATACAAAAAGTCAGTCTCAACTATCAATCATGATGGTTTACCCAGTTTTTAAACATCAAATATTAAACTTACCTGAAAAATGAATCCTTTAACAATCATCAGTGTGATAAGAACTAACTAAGACAGAAACCCTCTTTGAGAATACAATTATTTTAACATACTTTGATTTATAGTACTTTTGAGTCATCCATTTACACAATCTATGGGCCACACCCAGTGTTATAATAAGCCTTACTCTATGGTTATGACAATTTTTAATTTAACAAAACATCAACATGATTTTTTTGAAGTAAGATACAGTCTAAACTTAGGAAGGTTGTCTGGTATAGATCAGGAAATATCTGATAATAAGTAAAGAAGCCTGAGGATATGAGCAGAGGTCATTTGAATGATACAAAAGTTGGAATATAAAAATCCTTTGATCTGGACTCAAAACCTCTTGAGCCCATTCTCATTCATACTCAAAATATACATAACCCAATATCATAAGATATACCTCATTCCCAGTATAGGAATTAATATACATGCAGTCAATTGCTTTGTAACTGTTTTTCTCATCTTGTTATGCAGAGCTCTCAACTGAAAATGATGTGCCATCTTATAATCTGAAGTAGAGAGGGTAGACACTTGGTTTGTCCAGAACATGATGACAATCCCTGACCTTCATTCCCACTCGTCTCCTCTTGAGTCAGAAGTTAGGTGTGAGTTTGAAGTTGGCCCTTTAACAAAGGAAGAAATATGGATCCCAGATAAACCCTCTCTGAGCTTGCAGGTATTTTTCGATCTCTCATAACGCTGACGTGACTGTATTTAGCTGTGAGACTCTGACACCATTCGTCTTAGCAGCTTTTCTTTTAATTACTGCTCTCCCGTGGGAGCCTGTCTGGTAGTTAAACAGAGAAATCAGCATTACAGCAATTATTGGCGCACAATGAAATGAATACAATCTTGTCATCTGTAATCATTGGGGGCGTCTATGCCTGGGAGAAAACAGCTTCTCCTTTCTAGTTCTCAGTGAGAGAAGGCAGTGAGGTAGTATGTGGTTGCAGAAGGGATCACGGTCTACCTCAGTGGACCGAGGTGGTTATTCAGAGCTGAATGTCAGGATTGAAGGTCATGTTCTGTCTGTCTATCTCTCTGTCTCTAGCCTTTCTTTTCAGTCGCTACTATATGTGGTAAAATAATGGTCCTAGGTGCACGGAGCACTAAAGGGAACTTAGACGCATTAGGCTGCTGATTTAGTGGAAAGCCCAAACTTTAAGCACCAGACAAAGTGAACACTGTGGAGCATTTAGCTGCAAAAGAGCCAAATATTTCCATTGGGAGTTGACCAGACCAAACAGAGCTAAAGCAAATAATGTTATTGATCTTGTTGGGTTTCTAGAATAATGACTTCTACCATGTCTTCTTGATATAAACAAGAGTTTGCTCAAATGTTCACCAGAGCTTTACAAAGATTCTCGCAGAGTTGGTGAATGTTGATTGATTCCGATTGTGTTTTTCTGAATTCTCTAAGTCAATGCATAGAAATCTGTGCCTGTCCAGCTATCTTTCTACATTTATCTGTACATCTCCATATATCTCTGTCTTGTTACATCATGCTGGCATGGCATATAAGCAGGTAACTCCTTTGAAAATATTTGCTGAAATGTTAAAGAAAAAGGATTAATTTGGGGGTGAGAGGCAGCTATAAGACTATGTTGTCAGAAATGACATGTTCCTGGGTCACGGGTCATGTTCCTGGACCCAACAGGTTCACGACATGTGGTTGTTATTGAGTTTTTGCCTGTCGAATAGTCCTCTTTGTCAATTAGGCAACTCATGATTGTTGTGAGGTTGTGTTCTCATCCATCTCTGTTTGAGGGCTTGGTTCTTTTCTTGTGAAGATGGTTATGCAAGAAGTACTGATTTGTGGAGGGATGTGGCATTGGCCAGCGAAGGATGCCTAAAAATCTGATGAGGATCCAGGGCACCTTCCTTTATCACATTTCATAACATTGCAGAATAAGACATTTGCAATATTTCCCTCTGCTTCTCATGAATCTTCACGTAAACAAATCAGACATATTTACACTGTTAAGCTCTATGAGTTTATATAATTTGGTGCAGTTCTTCAAAGTAGTTTTGTTCTCCTGATATTTTTCTCTTATAAGAGCTAGACAGACATAAAGCATTGTTTGGCCTTGGCGGAGAAAAGCACTTTACTGAGTTCCATTCTAGTTCAGTTTATTCTCTTCTGAGAATTACTTTGCTCTTTGAAATTAAATGTTAAACTTTCAAATCTGTGGGTCACTTTTAAAAACTTTATGCACATGCTGTTTGCACTTTTATAACCTCCTGTCAAATATATAACACACATTAGAGGTTTAATGTTTAAGTAATGCTATTTCCCTGATGTAAATTCTCCGTTGATTCGAGTTTTCTTCTCTCTGCAGCTACAGAGCGATCTGGACCAGGAGTACCAGGACAAGTTTCGCCGGCTACCTGTGGAGATCCAAGAATTTGTTCAGGACAGCAGCAAGGCCAAACTTAGCGACGACGGAGTCAACGCAAACCTTGTCACGTCCTCGACAATGGAAAAGCTCAACAGCAAGGCGTCGCAGTCTGAGGACGACACGGAGGAGGGCTCGTCGGAAAGAGTATACGACACATCCCTTTAGAGATCTAATCTCGGCACTCTGCTTCACACTGGGACACTGATTGCTGGATGTGTTTGTGGCTACAGATGTATGATGAGACTGCCCCAACTTCGGTCCTAATTTTTACCAGAGGGAGGATTAGATCAAATCTGAGCCTGAAGTGGTGAGTAGAGGTTCTCTCTACGTAGAGTGCAGTCTTGTCCACAAAACCATTCTTTTTTGTGTATTTGTATGTTACCTGTATTTTGTCGTCTCTTCCGATACGGCCACAGGATGTGTTACAACGCACTAACTATTTGCAGGAAATAACTTACTTGAACTATTGCACAGAGAGTAGTTTCTTTTTATGATTTTTCTTTTATTATTATTATCCTGATATTGACAGTAGTAGTAGTGGTCAGTGAGGTGTGTGGTGCCAAGGTTTCGAATTAACTTACAGTGGTCTTTGTCAGTAAAGTGGAGTCAACTTGTACTGTAGAGAAACCACTGCATATTCAGCCTTTACAGCTTCCATCTTTATAAGATTTAGATTCACACGTCCATTGCACTGAAGGCTCACAACGTAACTATGTAACTCTTACTTAAACCCAGAGGCACTGGTGGCTTGCTGGTTCTCTATTTTGTTCTCACAGAACTAAGCCTATGTGTTGCTGCTATTTTGTTTTTAAAACCATCCATTTTTAACCATTATTTGGTTTTGTACGATATTTGGCATGATAATATTATGCAGTGCTCTGTCATTCTTTTTCTTTCTTTTTTAATCCTGGCTACTTTTTAATGAGTTTGTTTTGACTGTGGGCAGCTCTGTCCAGAGAGGAAGTGAAGGGAACATGTGCTGTACAGTATCTGCATGTATTTGACCAGCTGTAACGTTACACTAGCTCCGTAGCAGAGATGTTTATTACATGTGAATCTATTTTCTCTTAAACATTTAAAACTGAACCTGCAAAATAGTGGAATGATACATCACTGTGGCAAAAAACTGAACGGGACTAAAATGACAAGTTGTTGATAACAGCACACCTTTTAACAACAGATCCAATGTTATCAGGCTTGACTTAACAGGTAACTCATTGTATTCTCTCCCTTTGTCCCCTTGAGCTGAAAATGTCAAACCAGGATATTCAAACAAAAGAGGATCCTTCTGCAGTTTTTAAGAAGTGGCCTCCTTCTTAACGCTGTTCACTGTGTACCTGCCCAGTACATGCACGGGACAACAGGAGATATGTTGCGCACTGGCATTATTCACAATATCCGCCCAACAGCTCAGTTATTTTTCAGTTGACCCCTAAAACGCTTAGTGCAGAACACCGGCGTGAACATGATCTTGTGAATAACTTAACTATCTCCTCTTAAATGGTCCAGTGTGTAGGGGTTAAGGGAAATCTGATAATGATGATGAAGATCTCCCAATAGATCACTCTGAACCCTACACACCGGCCTTCAACTGTCCTGCCAGTAGCCACACGGAAGTGTTTATTACTTCCTTAACTGTCTGGTGCCATTTAACTCAATCGTGTGTCATTTTATATCAAATCGTATTGCAGCTGAGTTTCCTTTAAAAGAAATACTTGTTGAAAGTGAAGGATAACCTGACATGTAAGTACAAACTACTTTAAAAAAAAAAAAAAAGATGATGTTGATGTGAGAGTCCCGTGCCTTTGAATTGGTTTGCCTTGTTTGATGTTGAATGTGTGAAATGCATCATTATTTCAAATGCCATTATACTATACAAAGCTGTCTGATATTGAATAGACCGTGTGCACTTTTTAGTACAGTACCACTACTGAGTAATGCTTGTGATGAGCAGTATTTGACATGTCTCATAAGAAATGCGAGACATCCTTCCTTCTTTTTTTGTGTCTTGAACCATCTTTATTTAACAGCCCCCCCCCCTGCTCATCAAGTGTATGCACTCTGGAAATGTAAATGTATGACGTAAAGATAAAATATGAAGTTGATGAAAAAAATATATAGTGTAAAGGGACTTTGCCTGTAATTAAAATAAATGTGGCTATTATTGTACTTTGCTGGAGTAGAGTTGTGTGTCTTTTAATTTGTCATTGGTGAAACTAATGTTTTCATTTTTATTTTATCTTAAACCCTCATGTCTGTGTTTTTAAATTACCATCATTCATTTGTCATGTTGTGTTTTTTATTACCTGAGCTTTTCCGTCACCCTTGTGTATTCGGTTATCAAACAGTTCCTTTGTAGATCTATTTTTCTTAATTTTATACATCTTAATAATATCACAATGTGTAACTCCTGTTTGTCTGCATTTAAATGCCACATGTCATTGCTTATTGTTTTACTAGGAATAGATGTTAGATTGTTGAGTCTTTGTAACAAGGCAAAGACTGGATGGTAAAAAAGAGACTATGACTGCACTGCAGAAAACAGGCCACGTGTGATGGAAGGATCCATAACCAGCTAGAGAGAGAGTGTGTGCGTTTGGATGCATCTATTGGGGGCAGTGGGCATAAAGATATCAAGGGCAGGGGGAAGCAGGGAGAAAGGCTTGGTGACCTATTTCCTCTCATCACCTAGGTAACAATATCTTTGAAATGACCCTGAGAAAAATACAAATTCGAGAACTTAGGTAATTGAGTCACTGGTTGTCACTGAGAAGCACTGAAATCAAAGAGAACTGTTATTTCAGACAACACATCTGAATCACATACATTTCCTGTGCGATTTGTCAATATAACACCACTTGTCACGTACAATAGTAAACATTTGTATGCATGTTAGTTGTATACACTCTGTGCTTATTTGACTTCCCTTGATGATTCACTGTATTTCAACTTTAAAATCGGCTTAAGCTCCTGATGTGTTTCCTGTTGAATGGCAACAGCCTAGAAGGGAGTTTCACTTGGAGCAGGTCCAATGTGTTTTGCTCTTGATCACACTAGTGAGTGTTGTTAGTGTACAGGTTTATGTCTGAGGATTTCTGTAGTTGGTGCAAGGGAATGTTCAACTGTGTTACTACGTGTGTGTGTTTTCCAGACTTCATAAACATTATGTCCCTTCTCAGTCTCAGCTCCCCAACAGGCTTCAGGAGATAAGACAAGCCCGGTCGTCCATAACAACCACTGTGACCATTCCGAGAAGCCTCCGCACATACCAGCGACTTGGAAGTTGAGCTAATTAACCCAGAGTTCAGGACGGAAGGAGAGCACCGTTTTAATAAGATTCTCTGAGTTATATAAACAGTGACGCCCCTCCAAACTCCCAGGAATATCATCGCCCTGTGTCAGTCCATCTGCTGCGGTGAAGAGGAGAAGGAGGAGGAGGTGTCCTGTAACTGGGCTTTAATGAGGGACGCCAGAGGAGGAGAGGACCACAGGGTGCTGCTTAGAAGGTACAAGGAGCAGACACACACATACATGGACGCACACATAAACACGCAGACATGACCTGAAATCTAATCGTAGCCCTCTTCAGTATACATTAAAATACCCTAATACGTGACCTAAAACATATCCTTAAAGCAATGTGAAGACTAACCCTAATCTTAATCTATCCTGGATCACACTCTGGTTGTAATTCTAATATTATACCAAAGACCATGTCCTAAATTCTAAAATGTTGATCGAGGAAAGGCACAGTGACCTTGCTTTGCAGAGTTTTCCTCACTCGCTCTGTCATAGATGATTTTTTTAGGCCATGTAATCGTGAAAGGTGAGAAACATCAGTTTTTTTTTTATTGTACAGCAGTTATTGTGCTTTTATATTCTGTTGCAAACTTGACAGGAAACAAATTTCACACACAAATTTAAGTTAGCGTCACAAGTGGTACTTCTTTACCTGTCCCAATATTTGTATAATGTCTTCTGTGGCTCTGTAACAGCTCCTGATGGTCAGTGTTATCTTGGGTCACCTGTGGACACCTTATAAACAACAGACAGAGGCTTTGTAATGCACGGAAGTGAGCTGCATTATGGAAATGGTAAGATCCAATAGTTTTGGAGAAAAACTTTGAATGAAAGTCAAATCTGTTGCATCAACTGTGACCTGTTCTGTTTTTTAATGTCTTGCAATTCCCCAAACTGTATAGTGCATAATATATAAATTGCTGGAATTTAAACTATAATACTTCACCATGTTCCAAAGATGAAGATGTTTTTTATTCAACAAGTTATGGCCAAAAGTGATAACTGAGTTGTCTGCCTATGTGTAATTTACTTTGTGGAGAAACAAAAGTGAGGAGAACCCCCAAGTGATAGTTTATCCACATGGTAAATGTCCTGTATTTATATTGTGTTTTTTAAGTCTTGATGACCAATAACAACTCTTTTAAGCACAGTTTTGCCGTCCACCCATTTGGGATAGTTCATAAAAATGAATGAACAAATGTCAAACAGAACTAATTCAAATCAGTAATAATACAGGCATATATGTGCAGCACTTTCTCTATCATCACAACTACGCACAGCTGTCAGGGCCAAAGTAGGTTTTAGTATCCTGCCCAAGGGCACTTCAGCATGTGGCAAGGGGGGGGGGGGATCGAAAGACCCTCTGGTTAGTGGACGACCCGCTCTGCTTCGACTCTTGTTGATGAATTTTTTCCAGCATGATATGTCTGATAACGTCACACTGTAGAAAACCCACCTGCACTGTGATGCCAGTGAATGAAACACAAGTGCAATGGAGAGATGCTCCACAGCAAAGAAAAAGGAGGAGGGAGGTTTGTCTGCAGGACTCAGCTGCTGGAGAGGGAGAGAGGGGGGGGGGAGATAGAGAGAGAGAGGGAGGGAGAGAAAGAGAGAGGGGGAGAGATAGAGAGAGAGAAGGGGGGGGGAGGGAGAGAGAGAGAGGGAGGAAGAGAGAGAGAGAGAGGGGGGAGAGAGGGAGAGAGGGGGGAGAGAGAGGCTGGATGTGCTTCTGCTGGATGACTCACCCCTGTTGTCAACCCCAGCCACGCTCATTCACTTCTCTGCGAGCACGCGCGACAGTTGTGCACGCGCACGCACGTTTGTTTGGTGGGTGGGTAAGGGGGGGGGTTCCCAATCAAAGCACCAGAGGCGGCGGCAGCACCGGGACCGCTCACTCTCTCCACTGGAGGGCGAGTGTGGTACAAGAGCAGCGGGGGGGGAGACAGGGGCGAGACAGGGGGAGGGAGACGGGACAGAGCAGCAGCTGGAGGGAAGACACTGTGGTAGAGAGAGAGAGAGAGAGAGAGAGAGAGGGAGGGAGAAAGTCCCGAGCCGGACTCTGCACAGCATCATTCCTCTCTCACCACCGCCGGATTAAAGCTCCTGCTGCAGCGACATCACGTAAGAAACACACACACACACGCACGCACACACACACACGCTCACACACACGCTCATTAACCCTGATGGCGTCACGTTATTATTGGAGCTTTCTCGTCTCTCTCAGTAAGAGCTCAGTCTAACGCAGGCTCCGTGTCTGTCAGTCTCACTGGATGCTGGGGAAACAGCCGCTTAAACTCCATCCCGCTACAGCTGCTTCCATCACACACACGCACACACACACGCACGCACGCGCTGTAGCCTAGTGTGTCGCTAGCTAGCTAGCCCGGGCGCGTTCAAACCGAGCGGACCTTTAGCAGCCTGGCAGCGGGGTTCTCTGGTCTCTACTCTCCCTCGGCGCTGCGGCTTCTCTCCTCCTCTCTCGCAGGTAAAATGTGACACACGCGGCCTGAGAACTTGCAGGGTGTCGGTGGGAGGTGTTGGTTGTTGGATGTTTCCGGCGGCTGCCCGGGGAGGGTGGCTAGTCTCCGGAGCTAGCTGTAGCGGGACAGAGCAGGAGGCAGCCCGGCCGATGTGACAGGCACACGGTGACTGCACAGTGGCCATAAAAGTCAATGGACTAACCGACACAGGGCGGCTGTTTCCGGGCTTGGGTTTACATCATGGTCCGCTGCACCGGTCTATAAACAAACATATGTACAGACTAACGACCCGGCGGAGGATTTTACTGTGAGCTGAAGTGAATGTGTTGAATGTGGGAGCTGCAGCTGCCATGCATTCATCCCATTCTGCAAGGTGCCATCGCTTCACTGTCAGGGCAAACACAAAAGTGCTGGTTTCTTACTAAAACAATTTCTATTTTCTGTATATTTGAATGCATCCCTAATTTCACATCACTGAGCAGTGAGATTTGAATACAATAATCTATTTATTTGTAATCAAATCATATTGTCCTTGCTCTATCCGTCAAAAATATGTATATTTTTAGTCCATTCTCAGCTTTTTCACTTCATGTGGATCAAAAAAGTGAGTGAAAAGAAGATGTTGGGTATAAGATTTCATTGCTGAAACCCTGACACTGAGTTTTAGGTTAAATTAATGTCAGATTGTTGTCTGCATCCATTTTTATAGAGCGGAAGATGTATATCTAAAGTGGCTTTCTTTGATACAGGTTGAAAAGGACATGTTGGAGTCAGAAAGCAGGTTTCTATTTTCATAACCTGTTTTATCACATACACCCAGGAGGCAGAGAGTGAGCGTGTTTGTTCAAGAATAACCCTTCGGCTTGTTTGCAGTCCAAATAACCCATAATGCATTGTTTGGTGCAGGGTTTCACTTGGGTGCAAATGAACAAACTTGTTGCATGAGTTATCTGCTCACACGGACATCCTGTGTCCACTTCTTCATCATGAGCCGTGTTTGTGGAGGAACCTTTTCTTCTTGTAAAAAGCACCAAAGGTGTATTCCAGTGTGCTGTAAACATTGTTTAGCCACTTTATCTTATCTCAGGTTTTTGTTCACGGACCACAGAGAGTTTCAGTGAGTGTTGTTGTAAAATTACAGAAGGTCGTCTTGTCTCTCACACCTTCTCTCACAGTTTGTCCTCATCACGTATAGCAAAAATAAACTCTGCATTGGCGTATTGACACAGCCACGTAAACGTTTCAGTAGTGATTATAGTCAAACATCACCCTCCCTCACACAATAGCAATCCCTTACCTGTGGCTTAAACCCAGACTGTGAGGCTTTGTCCATGAATAGAGGTGAACTAAGAAGCTTAAAGGCTGTGGGTGTGCAGGTGCTTTTATTAAATTTTTTTGTTGGAGCAGATGACAGCGTTGTGTCTTTGATGCACTCAGTGGTGAGAAATCATTGGTTCTTTTCAGAATGTCTTGCACAGGGCAGCGTTGTCCTGTATTTGGTAATATGATGACAACACAATTTAATTGATATCCTTTTAGCAAATACTGCTCTGAGAGTATGATTATCACCAGCAATTATTAGTTTTAATGATTTGAGGAGAATGTAATGTCCTCATGTTATCCCTGGTATGCCATAATATTTTTTGGATAATTTGCAGATTTTGTGAGCGATGTGAATTTTTATTTTGATATGAAAGTGGGACTGATTGTTTTGTTCTTTTTTAGTCAAATTGTCCTTTTGTGTCCTGCTTGAAATGACTAGCATGTGTGCTCTCTGTGCAAAGCAGGTGGTTATGGTGCAATTTAATTGACTGTTCAGATTTGGATGGATTAAATTTTCCAAATTAGAACCACAAAGTATTTTTTCAATATCTCGGTGCATTTAAACTGACAGAATAACAACATATTTGCTCTGAGTCACAACAAAACTAGATTGGGACTCTTGGATAAAAAATACACATAATGGAAGATGAGGAAAGTAAAAACAACATTTCAAAGTTGTGGCACACACATGTCAAGCCTGGTGCAGTTTTTTTATTATTTCCAAGCCACAGATATTTGTGTGATGAGGATATGAAAATGTGTCTGAGGTGCACACATTTGCAAGTGTTGTTCTGTGGTTCAGCTCAGTTGCAGCTGTAGGATTTGGTCCAAACGGCAAATGAAGTGAGAAAATCTGTTTTTCTCTGTTTGTATGTTTTCACACTGGCGTCCTTGCCAACATCTTATTGAGTTGCTCGAAGGTTGGAGGTTTACTCTGGTGGGAGTTAAGTTGGAATCCATCCCTCCGTCTGCCAGTTTACTGTACATCTCAATTACTTGTTGTCTTTTTTTAAAGCCTGGCATCTTCACCCACTTGTTTCCTATCTATTTATTCTCATGTTGCTTTTTCTCTTTTATTAGACGTCTGGTCTTGATTAGCTCGACTGTCTCCCCTTCTATCCCTGTTGTTTTGACGTGGTTTAGCAGGTTTTCATCACAGTGCAGTCCCCGCCCACACACGTCAGCCTTGACAAAGCTGTCAGTAACCCTTGTGGATGTTTCTGAAGCCTCACAGAGATCTATGGATGTGGCAGAGCACAGTCTGATGGATTGATCGGCCGACACACGAGCAGACTGACACTAGAAATGACAGACCCAGTCTTATGGTAGCATGTTAAAAAACGTGTTGGATCACAACCCTGTCGCTATCCAATTGTTAAAATCTGACAAGCTTTAAGGCTATTCCGAAGCTGTTTGTCAATATTGTGATTTACTTGATGTTTTCCTTGGCAGCATAGCGAAGGGATGTGGTATGTGCTCGCCTCTCTGAGTGGCTCTCTCTCAGGTTCCGTCCTTCCTCCTGCACTGAACAGGTTTTTAGACCTCAGCCAAATAAGTCCAGATTCAGGTCTCTTGCGATTTATGAAATTCTCTCTCGTTCTTAAAGTATGTCCTTTTTTGTCTCTGCAGGCCAAGACATGAGCTTCTCCCGCTGATCGTTATTGATGCTGAACTGGTGAGTTTTGGGTTGTTGTTTTTTTTCTCTGCTGCAATACACAGTTTTTCAGTCCATGTTAGAATTGTCAGCTAGGCTTTCACAATAACCTCTTCAATATTAGTTACTTCTTTCCGGAGCAGCCGGTTCATGATTGCATATTAATGGACTAATCTGCATTAAGTCAATTGAATAAAGTGTATGCATAATGTGCGTGAAACATATGGCCTCGTCCTGCTTGTAGGCTTACCTGACAACTTATGCAATTGGGATGTCTCGGTGTGTAATCTCATGTGCTTCTGAAAGCACAAAAAACCCCAGAGGGAAACTAAAAACAACCAACCAGAAGGTGAGGAATGATAAAGGGTTTTTCCTGCCATGTTGGCTTTAGCACAGAAATCTACTCGACTCTTATGTTTGCCTTTTCGTTGTTTTTCTCGTCTCTCTCTCATTAGCGAATATAAAATTCGTTTCCCCGCAAAGCATTCTGCATTTGTAAAACGAGCTGCATTGAGAGCTGCGTCCGAGAGACATTATATTGGATTTGTGCTGAATGATGAAAGCAAGTGGCCCTAATTTTTCACTGTATCTTTCAACCAAGACTGATTTGCAGCATTCGCCCGTCCGCGGCCGGACATCACTCACTGATAAGCAGGTTGCATGGCTGCTGCTGCCTTGTGCTCCCTCCTGCCAACCTAGAAAACTGTAATACGGCTGAGAGGTGATTGCTCTCTATAATATGTTCTGTATTAAATATGTAATCTGTATTAATGATGTCATGTGTAGCATGAAGGCTGTTTGTCCACCCGGGCCTGATTAATTGATATGTTTTAAGCTTTCATTTTATAGAGGAGGGAGGTATACTTTTTCATTATCCCAAAGTTATGTTTGCTTAAATATATTTAGCTATGCTGCAATGATATTGTCAGGATGAAGCAATTATTTCCGATACTTAACAGAATTTATTTTAGAAAGGGAAACACTAATCTTTTTCAATAGCTTGAATTCTACAATTGGCTTGCAAGTTAACATAGCAAGAACTTTAACATTCAATTTTTTCGTCCATTATCTGTAACTGTATTTTGCCTCTTGAGGGTCACGGGGGGGGGGTTGGAGCCAATGCCAGAGACATTGGGCGAGAGGCGAGGTTCACCCTGAACAGGTCACCAGTGTATTAAAGGGCCAATACACAGAGACCAACAACAATTCACACTAACAATCACACCTACAGACAATATAGTCTTCAATTAACCTAACTCCAACCTGCATGTCTTTGGACTGTGGGAGGAAACCCACACAGACTCGGGGAGAACGTGCAAACGCCACACAGAAAGGCCACAGCGATTCATTAGTATTGTGCAAAATGATTTTTGTAAGGTTAACTTGCACAAGCATCAGTACAACCATGTAGGTCAAGGCACTGCATGAAAAATTAGGCACATTACAGCTTTTAAGACATGAAAAAACACTGGTTTATTTTTCTTTTTTTTTGTCTGTGGCTGTAGTCTACATAACACAGGACTCTTCAGTTTGTGGAAAGTGCACAGTATATGTATATGTTGCTCATTGGCTCTGATCAAGTCTTTAATCGGGGGCTCTGCTCTTTTTTCTGATTTTAAACAATATAATCTTTCCTTGCTCAAAACTCTAGTTCTTGTTGAGAAGCAGCACACACTGTAACACCTGCAGTTCCTCCTATTTTGTCATAATGTGGCTGCATAATAACACAGATATCAGAGAAGTTTCTAGTCAATGAGGGGGACAATGATGTGCAATGGACATGGCTCATATACAGTATTTTTTGCAATAATGGCTCATTATCTTTCTCAATGTATTTAGTCCAGCAGGGACAGTGCAGTTTGCTCCTGCTTCTGTGTATTTTTAACAGACCATTAATTACCCAAATTCTATAATACTTTACAGTAACATAAGTTAAATTACCAATGATATTTGGATTCCATTTTATTTCTTTTGAGCAATATGATTCAGTCTGCAGTTTTTACAGTATCATAGAGGACGGTGTATGAAAAGAGACAACCTTTGAAATATCAGGCTTATCCATTGTAAGCTGTAGTGTTGCTTCTGAAGAAGCATTTCTGTCAGATTCTTTAAACGATGAGAACAAATGCTGTTATAAAAGCAGCAGCAGTCATACACTGACACTGTCTGTACCGGCAGCAAAGTCAGCAGCAGCAGCAGCAGAGTCAACACCTTCCCAAATCAATTCCCATTGCAAATGTTTGCATCCAGCTCCTGAAACGCTGTCCTGCCCTCAGCTGCATTCTCAGACCTTGACATTCATTGAAAATATGGATGTGACAGTTACTTGGGGCTGCATCCAGGCAGAGGTGGTGTCACTTTCAAAGGAACTACATTTTACAATGTAATCCCATGGTAAGAATTTAATGGCTGCTCTGATCTGATAAAACTGGTTCATGCTCATCTAAATGTGATGAAGCAGCTTGTTTGGCAATTTAAAAAGAGATGTTTTCAATCATTGCATCACCCATGACTGAATATTTGTGCATTTAACATATCAGGAATGTAGATTCAAGGAACAAGGTTGTGATTAAAAAGTAGGAATTTCCTCATCTGCTCAAGCCACATTTATGCTTTAAATCAGGAAGAAGAGCTGTTCATCCAGTAATGTCGGTGGTTTGATCCCTTGTTTCTCCAGTTTGTACCTCGAAGTCACCTTAGGCAAGATAAATACTGAACCCCAAATTGCCCCTGATGGCTGTGCTGGCAGTATTTCAATGCAATTTGATTGCTATAGTAGCGCTTTATGAATGTGTGTGTATAAATGGTTGAAAATGATTTGTGCTGCACATTAGTTCTCATCTGCTAACTGCCCGCATTTAGTTCATATATAACGTCCTTGTACTTGTGAAATTATATACATTTTTTTTCCCGTTAAACAACTGTAACCCGCTGATACCGTACCCAGTGCAAATCCATTAATGTATTTTAAAAACCTGTTAACAGAGCATTATGAACACACTGCTTCACACTGCACCACTGTCTGTCATAACAGTTCTTTTTTAATAAATGGAGTCGGAACAGGATGGTTAAACTTTATGACAACACCATTTCTAAAATTAAGGCATCTTTTTTACTTTACGTTTCATAAAAAAATCCACAAATGCTGACACCGATATATTTGAAAGACAATATCAGGTGATTAAATCAGCAGACCGACAAAATTGGTCTGGCTCCAGTCAGGTAAAGTATTTTATTTATATAGCACCAAATCATAAGAGAGGGGCTCTACTTATCATTATGGATGTGCAGACACAGCTAAGAGGCTCAGTACTTTCCAGCACTGCCCTCTGCTCTGTGCAGTGTTAAACCTCTCAGCTCTGCTCCGTCAGTCTCAGCTTCAAACGCAGCACAGCTGATCAAAACCTGAACTTAAACCCTGACCGCTCCACATGTTATAGATAAATACGAAAGCGTGCTGTTTGCTGCTCGAAGAAAGTGATACATCAGTGATGAGAGAGTTTGTCTCCACTACAAGGGTAAGTGTGGCTGGAGGCTGAATATAATGACAGGGGTATTCTCTGCAGACAACACACACACAGAGGGAGAGATGGAGAGCGAAAGCAAAACAGACAGAAAGCGAGGGAGTAGCACCAGCAGATGGGAGCTGCAGTCATTAAGTCAATATTTATTCTTTCCGAACAAAAAATTGGCAGCATTAGCTTAGCTGCTTCAGTAGCTGGCAGCGGGAGCATCCTGATCAGTGTGAATGGGGCTTTAAGGAGTTAAAAACACTAAAGTGATGATAATTGTAGCTCCACTAACCACGTGCACTCGTTCATTCTTCATCCATCCCCCGCTCCTTCTCACACATTCTCCGTGTGCACATTCACTTTACCCATGGCTCAATCCACTGTGGGGATACACGTGAACGCAATTTGCACTTCCAATTAAACTGTCGACCTTCGCTCCAGAATGCAAAACTTGATTTCGTGCCATCCTCCCCTGGATAGCTATTATTATACGCAGCCCGCCCAGTAATCGAGAGAATTAGGCTTTTATTTTTTTCTTCAGTCCACTGACGAGGATCATTGAAGTCAGCAAAATAATTACTGCATTTATCACACTGTCAATATCTGAGGGGGAAATTACGAAACCTTTAGGGACTCTTGGCAATCGATTGAATTCTGCATTTTGTCGTTTGATCAAGACTAATGCAAAGCAGGTTGTAGTTTTCCATAACAAGGGCCTCATTACGAAAGAAAAGTGATTTCAGTTACATATATAAGAATTTCCCATATTTGGAATATAAAACACTTTAGCTTCAATTGCGAAGATGTCTTGAACTCCTTTTCAGTGGTGACCATATTTTTAAAATGTGATTTGGAGGGCTGCACAGCTTGTATCTAGATAGAGAGCAGTGTGAAAGAAAAAGAAGGGACGCTGAAAAGAGCAGAATACACTGGACTAGGGTTAGGGTTAGCCTAAAGCATGCTGCTGAGACTGTAACACGGCTACAACACATGACTCGTTGGCCAGATCAGATGACTAGATAAATAGCAAGAATGCTGCTTCTTCCTTTTCTACAGCAATGCTCTTGTCTGGCTGGGAAAAGAGAGAGATGTGTGTGTGCGCGTGTGTGCCAGTAGAGCATCTTTAATCAGCCCTCCACTGTATGAGATAAAAGGCCCAAGAAATGATGTAACATTTAGCAGTTGGGCTTATCACTTATCCTGTTCAGCTAAGTTGAAATGCAGATTACATGCTACACACAATTGTTCCCATTTTATTTTTGACTTGCATAATTTAATGGCTGTGAGGGATTGTCTGTTCCTATACAGATGTATCTGGAACAGCATGGAGTATTAAATGCAGGGCTAATTTATGTCTGTTTATATAGTGGATTTTAATGGCCTTTTTTTTTTCCAACCGTGCTCGTTAGTTTTCTCATAAAATAAAAAAAGCTCCCTGAACTCTAGGATGGAAAGAAACAAACACATTTTGGCCGAGTATAAACAACACAGTGCAGTGGGCAAACAGTT